GTCATGCAATTGCAACCAATGCTCATCTATACTTTTCGGTGGAATGGTAGCTGGCCTAGAAACTAGCTCGTTTCCATACTTACTAGCAACAGAAGTTGCAGTCAGCTTGCTAACATCAATCCGTTGGTGGCGGTCACTTCGTTGTCCACTGAAAAGTAAGGTAAGATTGGCGCAGACCAAGGCATGGTCAGAGTCCAGATAGGTACTCCAAAAGGAACGGCAGTCTTGTACACAACCACGTCAGCGGTAGCTGATCGCGATGTGATCAGTCTGAGTCGAGACTCGAGATGCAAATGAAGGACACTGGGTAGCACGTCGGCGATGACTGTATCGGTAGTTAGTGCTAGCCAGAAACAGGTTGTAGTCTGTGCACAGTTGTAGTAGACGGTCCTCGTTATCTAACCTGCGACCAACGAGTCCCCATCAGTCACCTAAACGACTCTCTTCTGTGCCTAGACGCTCGACCTGAGCATTCATGTCTCCGGTTAGTACTACAATATCTGTCGAACGCACTTTCTGGAGAAGAACAGTTAACTGGTGATGGAATTCATCTGGGCTGCAATGTGTCGGGACATAGGCTGTGATGACGAAAAACATTGTTTCTCACTCCGATTTCTTCTCACTTTGATGGAACTCTAATCTAACAGCACATAACCGACTGTTAATGGCGATCCAATCGACTAGTGCTGCCTCAGCTCTAGCGCTTAGTGCGACACCAACGCCAGCAAGACCAAACGAAGATGCCACAGGGTTCCCGGATAAGCGTACGTAAAACAAGCTTTTCGGAGCGACAGATGGAGATCGAATTTGTAGTACTTCGCAAGAGTCTTAAATACGGGTCTCGGATAGACAACAAACTCAATATTAAGACTTTCTAAAGACATAGCCAGCCCTATCTGTTGTCCGACCAGCATAAATGTGCGAACGTTGAAGGCAGGCAGTTTGAATGGTGCACGTGGTTTCAGAAAAACTGCTTCAGTACTCATATTCGGTAGTAACATACAATTTTCAACCGGACAGTGACTCGAGAACGTTTAGATACAGTCGAATTTCCACCATAGACGAGCTGCTGTATAAGTCGAAAAAAAGACACCAGGGTAGTGTCCCAGCTCTTACATAAATCGAATTATTTATGTGGCGTATATCTGTTTGGTGCCTCGTTGTACCAATGTTTATGTGTTTAAATAAATAAAATCTGGTAACAGGTGAAACTAACTCAGCGTGAGTTCCAAGCCTTACGAGATCTACTCAGAGAAAAGGAGACTATTATGAGGAACAACTGTAAAGGGGTTGAAGAAACAATAACTTTAATATGCCGTGGAGTGAAGGGCTGCAAGAAACATCAGCATAGAGTTTATCTCTGTTGATATCCTGGATGAGATTCACGAAAGAGAACAAGAAGACAGGAATCAACAGCTGAACAAGAGTAACCAAAGTCAAGGCATAGGCCAAATACACAGCCAAATAGGCAAGTGAAAAGGAGCATTAAAGCTGATGAGCGGGAATATGAGGAATACCTACGAATGAGAGACGGAAAAACTGCAAGGAGATATGAGACAACTAAACTATATGACGAAAAAAATAACAAGGAAATATAGTAAACCAGTGCAACCAGGTTTTTTTGGTTAGCGTTTTTTTAGCCGTAAATTGAAAATGCTACACTTCGTAACCTGACTAAACTCAGCACATGGGTTTTAATTTCTTAACTACAGGAAGTATGAGTAGGCAGCAAATATATTTGTTGGTGAATATGATACTAAAGATAACTTTCTTTTTGTTTTTAGCCGTTCTATCTATTTAACTTCCTTTTATGAGTTGTATCAGGGAATTGAGCTGACCTATACATCAAAGTGTAAACTAAGGTTGACCGAAACCGTCTCTGAAATATCACCTGTTACCATATTTTATTTATTTAAACACATAAACATTGGTACAACGAGGCACCAAACAGATATGCGCCACACAAATTATTCGATTTATGTAAGAGCTGGGATACTACCCTGGTGTCTAAACCGAAGCAGGTTGTTTTTTAGGAGACCACACCCTAAGCTTTTGACCTAAATGCCCAGTCCACAAGTCAGTAGAGCGACGTCAGGAAATGCAGACCCATGGTACCTGGTGACCAACAATTGGTTCATATGCCATTTGTTTCCTCAGGACACTTGAGCCCATGTGCACCATTAGTTTGGAATCAAGAATTTCCGACTCCCCTAGATGGACCCTTCGTATCCACTAACCCGGTTAAAGCGCCGGACTTTCGCTTTTCGTCCTCTCGATTTCGTAAACAGCACTCCCCTCAATGAGAAGGCAGTGAGTAGGACTTCCCTGGCATTGGTTGTATGCATGTAGCCATGTGAGGACATCTCGAGAGGGAGAGCTTGCTCTCTCCACCCTCGGCCGTATCAGGGCATTTGTGGGCCTTTGTGGAGCATAGGCTGTCAACCAGAAATCTCCATCCTTCCCTCTTCTGGGTTCTTTACAGTTGTTGCCAAGTGCTGTTCTTCTGATATGTCTGATTCCCGGCACATTGTGTTGTTTGGTCTTCCTCTTTTTCTTTTGCCTTGTGGATTCGAGACACAGTTTGGGTGATTCCTCAATGTGACCTATCCACCTTTAGCTTCTTTCCCTAAGTTCCTCTTCAGCTTTAAGCTGGTTCGTTCTCTTCCATAGTAGGGTTTTATTTATGGTGTCCGGTCAACGGATCTGGAGTATCTCGCGTAGACAATTGTTGATAAATACCTGTGCTTTTCGATGGTGATTGTAGTGGTTCTCTAGGTTTTAGCATCGTACAATCTAACTGTCTTGACGTTCTCAATGAATATCCTGACTTTGGTGTTGGCTGGGAGTTGTTTTGAGTTTCATATGTTCTTCAGTTGCAGGAATGGTGCCCTTGCTTTGCCAACCCGTCCCTTCACATCTGCATCAGATCCTTCTTGTTTATCTATAATTCTGCTCAGATGTATGAGAGTCTCCTCTTCTTCTTCTTCTTCTTCCAGTGTTTCGGCACCAAGTGTGGTTGGGTTATTGCTTTCTGTGTTTTATTTTAGGATTTTGCTTTTCCCTTGTTGAGGCTCATTGCTGCAGAGGCTGCTGCTGCACTGGCTGTCTCCACTTGTATTTACTGATGTGTATGTGATAGAAGATCTAGGTTGTCTGCAAAGTCCAAATCGCCTGGTTGATTCCGAGCTGTCCATTCTATTTCGTGTTTCTCCTGAGATGTAATCCAGTCGAACACCAGAAGAAAGCGGATGGGGAAGAGTATGCAGCCATGTCTGACACCGGTCTTCACTTGAAATGCATCTGTCAGCTATCCTCTATTCACGACTGTACAGTGTGGTCCGTCGTATCAATTTTGTATGATGTTGACAATCTCAGGTACACCGTAGTGTCTAAGAAGGTTCTATCCACGTTATCAAATGCCTTCTCATAGTCAAGGATAATGATGTATATTGATGAGTTCCATTCAACCGATTGCTCAACGATTATCTGTAGTGTCATGGTTTGGTCAGTACATGATCGATTCTAACGAAAGTCAACCTTTTGGTCCCGAAGTTGGGCGTTTACTGAATATCTCATTCGGTTCAACAACACTTTCGAAAACTTTGTCCGGTACTGATAGTAATGTGATGCGTCTGTAGTTCTCACACTTGCTCAGATCTTTCTTTGGTATCTTGATGAGGAATCCTTATTTCATCTGTTTGCCCTTGCTTTTCTTCCCAAATCTTGCTGAATAGAACGTGGAGCATGTTTGTATTTCTATGCCTGACTTCAGTGCTTCAGCTGGTATGTTATCTGGTCCTGCTGCTTTCCCACTCTCGATTTGTCTGATGGCTGTGCTGATTTCTTCCATTGTTGGTGGAGTAGCATTTGTAAGAAGATCTGTGTGTGCTGCTTCGATGTTTGATGGGTTCAGTGGGGCCGGTCTATCTGAGCTCTTCAAAGTACTCTACTCACCTGTTCCGTTGATCCTTAGTTTCCGTGATCGGTTTTCCTTGTTCTTGACTGGTCGCACTTACTTACGCCTGTTACTCCTAATGGAGCATAGGCCGCCGACCAGCATTCTCCAACCCACTCTGTCCTGGGCCTTCTTTTCTAGTTCCATCCAATTCTTGTTCATTTTTCTCATGTCTATCTCTATTTCCCGGCGTAATGTGTTCTTTGGTCTTCCTCTTTTCCTTTGGCCTTGAGGATTCCATGTGAGGGCTTGTCATGTGACGCAATTGGGTGCTTTCCTCAATGTGTGTCCTATCCACTTCCAGCTCTTCTTCCTGATTTCTTCCTCCGCTGGGATCTGGTTTGTTCTTTCCCACAGTACGTTGTTGCTAATAGTGTCCGGCCAATGGACCTGAAGTATTTTGCGTAGACAACTGTTAATAAACACCTATATCTTCTGGTGTTTATTAACTCCGCCTGGAGTCCCTCGGGGGGCTACCGCCGGTCCCAAGCCCAGATGTAGGAGGAGGGTTGGGCATAGGGTTAGCGACCCCATCCCATAGAAAACTAACTCGCTAGAAAACGCTAACCAAAAAAACTGGTCGCACTGGTTTACTATATTTCCTTGTTATTTTTTTCGTCATATAGTTTAGTTGTCTCATATCTCCTTGCAGTTTTTCCGTCTCTCATTCGTAGGTATTCCTCATATTCCCGCTCATCAGCTTTAATGCTCCTTTTCACTTGCCTATTTGGCTGTGTATTTGGCCTATGCCTTGACTTTGGTTACTCTTGTTCAGCTGTTGATTCCTGTCTTCTTGTTCTCTTTCGTGAATCTCATCCAGGATATCAACAGAGATAAACTCTATGCTGATGTTTCTTGCAGCCCTTCACTCCACGGCATATTAAAGTTATTGTTTCTTCAACCCCATAGTAGTCTCCTTTTCTCTGAGTAGATCTCGTAAGGCTTGGAACTTACGCTGAGTGCTATCTTGAGTTCGTTGAGTGCTGTTCGTACAGTTGTCCAGTGCTTCTTTAGCTTCAGTTTGATCTTGACCACCACCAGGTGGTGATCTGAAGCTATGTCAGCTCCTATTTTTTTCTCACATCTTCCATTGGCCTTCTTAATTTTCTAGTGATGCAGATATCGATCTGGTTCTCTGTAGCGTTATCCGGTAAAACCCATGTAGCTTTGTGTTTATGGGGCGGGGAGATGGTGTCACCTATAATCGTTTTTGTTGAAAGCGCGTAAATTTGCAAATTTCTCATCATTCCCTTTCTTTTCTCCTAATCCGCGTCATCTTATGATATCTTTATACTCGGTGTCGTCCATTTCAACCATTGCGTTTAGATCCTCCATCGGGATGGTCAGATCCTTTCCTGACCATTTCTCTACTATAGACTTCAGCCTCTCGTAAAACTGATCGTTATCGTCCTCGTTGCTATCATTGGGGGGTGCATACCACTGGATAAAACTTATTGTGATCTCTTCTCTCTTTGTTTTGAAGATTGCTTTGATGATTCTGGATCCGTGAGACTCTCATTCTATAAGTGTTTCTTATAGTTCTTTAAGCGGCAGCAGTACAACTCCTTGTGTATGCGAAGCATTCTCTTCATGACCAGAGAACAACATCATTTCTTATTGAGTTAGCCTTTTTTGTCCAGCTTGCATCCAATGGGTTTCATTTATTATAAGAGCCGCCAGATTGTCCTCTTGTCTCCGCCGATACTTGTACTGTCTTCCTGGTTTCCCACAGTGCGAACATTCTATATACCTATATTAATTGTTGCTCTGTCTGCCAGAAGGAGTATCGACCTCGTGATTTCCAAAGGATCTCGGCTTCCATTACGAAGTATTGTAGCTCTTTTAATTGAATTTTTTTAAACTCCCATGTTGGAGTTTAAATAATTCTACAGGACGTGGTCGCTAGCCTCATGTCCAACTGTCCCCCTTTATCCAGGCTTGGGACCGGCATTAACCATAGAAGGGCTGCTGTCGGAGCTTCAAACCAAATAGTGAAGGCTAAACATGGTTCTTCATAACTATGCTGCAGTAAGCGTTATCTGTTCATGTTCAAAAGTGACATAGCGAAATCTGATCATTTTGAACACTGATTTCGAAGATTTCCTGGTAAGTAATAATATACGGAGCTTAGTTTGTTTATTGATAACCCTGATACTAACAAATCTATGCAGTATATAAGGTAATTTGAATTATCTGATAATATTATATTGCAGTTAGGTAAGTTACTAAAAATATGTTGATGCGAATCAAATGTTTCTTAAATCAGTCAGAGAAATTTGAATAATTTTAACTGCAATAATCAGATTTTTATATCTTCTTAGCTACAGTTATCTTTTTTAAGATCTGAAAGAAAAAGAAAAAGATCCTATCACTAAGTCTTAGTAATGAATTTAGATAACTCACTTTTGCTAACCCTCTCAAGTATGCAGAAATGTGTTCATTATTGAAATCAGTTTCTTATTACCAGAGGATTCGTCAGCCAATCATTATTCTCATGGAGCACGACACACGTACATAGGTTCAAGTTCTCGTACCACATCACCCGAGAGAGATGGAATTAACAAGGTGAATAGCAAATGAACTGAAATAATAATAGTACGAATGGTAATGAGAAAGATTAAACATTGTGGAATATATTTTGAAAAGAAGAGATGGATTCAGTGAATAGGAAAATCTGAAGTAATTTTGAATCTCAAATCTGCTTCACCCAACCTCAAGCAGGTTGGAGTTGTCTCACAGATGCCAACCAAATAGTCTGGGTCTACTAGTACAAAGCAGCCCAATATTTATTGACTTCATGAACTGATACAATGTTTTGATTTCACTGACAATAGCTTTCTGTCTACATACCCCTATCTCAGCCTGGATTGCAAGTCATGATAGGGAGTGACTAAGGATGAGTAATACATATCCTAACCACCCTAATCGTTGAAGATCCGTAGCCTCATTAAATAATTTGTCATCTTTGCTCGATATCTTACGTCCAACCTCAGCATTGCTCACTCAGTGGTCCCGACTTACGTGAAAAATGCTTCAAAGACAACTATGATCAAATAACATTAACTTACTTATATCCCTTACTTTGAAAGTCCACGTTTCATCATTGTGAAGTAAAACAAAATAGTGGAATACTGCAACATCTTTGCTGTTCATTATCCTCTAAACTCTCCGAAATGCGTTGCCGAGCAATAAGACAGAAATAATTTATTACTGGCATGTAAATCATATCTGTACTAAATTCTCGAATTTATTCTATTTCTACTTACTAAGTAACTTATTTTGTTCAATGCCTATAAGGTTATTCAGAATAGAATGTTAATAGTAATATGAAAAGAGACTGAATATTTTCTTACCACTGGTTAAAAAGCAGTTAATGCTACTATTGTTTCCATGATTGTCTTACTTTGAATGAGCATTATACTGTTGATGTTTGGATTCCACAATTCGAAACCTAACTCACCATTCTTGTTGGAGAAAGTTAATATGGATCATAAGAGTATACGAATTTCACATTTCTCACTTCAAGACTTAAGAATAAAGATCAAATATTGGATTACATCACAGTCATACCTGTTCCCCTATACTCTAATCAATCACGTTTCTGAGATGTGTCTAATTAGCATATGGTATGGTTTTTCCTCACAATGCTCAGTTTAGTCGGGTTGGGTCATTTTCATTAAATGTTAATTTCTAGCCTGTTTAGACCTGAAAATCTATATTTATATTTGCCTAGATTTTCTCTCTGTTTATAAATTCTTGATTTAAATAGTTTGCTCCTATGTCTCTTGTCGGCCTGAATCTTCCGAAAATTCAGTCAGTTATACAAGAATTTGTAGAGCCAGTTCCTGAACTCCCCAAAACTAGTGATGAACATATTTCATCCATGTGTAAACTCCCAACTCTCAGTACTTCACAACAAACTCCTGAAGAGGACGAAGCAGAAGAATTATTTGGAGAGATTCAAGATTGCTTTGATGTCTCAGTGGGTCCATGCTCTGATCCTGATCAAATGTTATTAACAAAAGAAAGCTTGGCTCGAAATCCAGACATCGATCATGAGCTCTGTCTTTCAATGCGGAACTGCATGAGTTCTGCTGCGTACATAAAAATGTCAGAATCCAGGTGTGAACTCCCAGCATACCAATTCAAAGAAGTGGGTATTTAGTTTATTTAATTATATTTGTACAATTTGATGAGTGGGATTCTAGTACCTTGCACTGGCAACATATTTTTCCGACCTCTCCTTATGATGTAGGATTATAAAGAGAAATAACGACAGTACACTTCTAATATAGTTTGTAATCTTTTTAGAGTTAGTACAATTATTACCTAATGTGAAAAATTCTATATATACCAACTACATACTAATCAATCAATGATGTTAACAAATATTCCTAATATAAGACAGGGAATATACCCTAAAGATGCAAAACAAATCCGCTTCAGAAGTTTGGTTTGTATGATGCTGAAGTTGAAAATTCGAATTTACAGTTGCCGCTTCACATTTAATGTAAGCTTGTTTTCCGTACTCATATCTGCTAACCATAGTATCTTGGATGAAATTTAGTTTTATGGATTGTTCAGGTCAATATCTTAATAATTGGCCTCGAACTATTTGTTTGACTATATTCATCTTGAAGCTCAATAAAACGTCACATCAATAACAATATCTTTTTTTTCTTGAAAATATATTTAATATTAATAAATAAACTTCATATACAACAACATTCACTTCAGTGTTCTTTTGTTCTAGGATATTGTCTCAACTATTCGAAATAACCAAGTTGTTATAATAAGCGGTGAAACAGGTTGTGGGAAGACTACACAGGTTCCACAGTTTATTTTGGAAGATCAGGTCTTAGGTGGAAATGGGTCTGTTACGCGTATCATTGTAACACAACCTCGGCGTATAAGTGCTGTTTCGGTTGCTGAACGTGTAGCAACCGAAAGAGGACAATCTATAGGATCTTCCGTTGGCTATCAGGTCCGATTAGAACGCCGATATCCTCAACGTCCTCATGGATCTATCATGTTTTGTACGACAGGAATTATTCTTCAATGGTTTCGTTCTGATCCACTTCTAAAGGTAACTAAACATTAATCATTTTTTCGAGTTATTTACGATTTTTCCGTACCAAACTGTTATAATTCATCTTCAATGATGAGGAACGAAACCGGATTTATCTGTGAAATACACTTTGAGTTAAATTTATTGTATATAAATTAGGTGAGTGGACCTTCAAGGTTATGGCCAAGAGATCGAAAATGTTTTAGCTAATGAATTAAGTAATACAGTGAGCGGACCCCAAAGAAAATTTTTTATACAATTACAATTTCAACATACCGCGAGCTCTGATTTATTCTTGATTTATGAAATATTCACATTAGAATCGACGTTAATGCTTACTTTATTTACTGTCAGAAGTTAAAGCCTTGTAAGTGATGTTTAAGGTCGATCAGTACTCATTAACAATTTACCATGGTCTCAACCGCTGAACTAATCACAGATTTTGTATTTCCTGTGTCTTCTCAATCAGAAGTTTACTTTAGTGGTAGTACTAACACCATACGAGTTTATAAGACACAGAAACGTTTTTACTTTGTTACTTTACCTCCCATTTTTACCATGTATTCACTGAGTTAACAAAATGCTAGTTTAAATCTTGACAGAAATTAACCTCGACAATAAACTTTGCGCTACGCTATACTTTGAATCTCTTCGTTATAGAATATCAGTCATATCATTGTTGATGAAGTACATGAACGAGAATTTTTATGTGATTTTCTATTGTGTATGCTAAAACGAATTGCTCCTCTTCGTTCAGATCTTCGAATAGTTCTCATGTCGGCAACAATCAACGCAGAAAAATTCGTTGAATATTTTGGTAAGTATCTATTAAATTGCTTTCATGGTAGGGAGTCTTAGTTTAGTCGGATTGACTATATAAACTAAAACTTCTTTGCTTTATCTCCAATATCCCTATCACTTTCGAAATGGTTTTAAAAGATTTACATATTATTGTAACATAATATAGCTGTCGTTTGTATGCACTTGAGGTTTGATAAATAAGGTGGGTGTAATTACGTAAATATTTTAATCGTTAGTGGATGGAATATTCATCATTATATTTCAAAATGTTTTACTGTATTTTTTTAAGCTGTGCATCGTAAAAAATGACAAATATGGACATTATTTAAATAAATAACTTGCTATAATATTCGTTAAGATTCGTAGTTATAAGTTAAATTGGTTCGTAACATTTTCTGTTTGTTAGCAGGTTACCGTGTTAGCTTGCTCATAGCTTGTGATGAATTCTCTGCAGTTATCTATTTATTTATTTGAACACATAAACATTGGTACAAGAGTGCGCCAAATATATGCGCCACACAAAACAATGAGAATTTAAGAAGAAAAAGAAAAAAATTGGGGAACGTACAAAAAAAACAATAACGAAGAGATTGGAGTAAGGTAGTGTGATAATAATAATGGGGGAAACAGAAACGTACAATCAGAAGAGATCTTTCAGTTAAGGAAGAAGCAACCACTTTTTATGAAGAAAGGTTACAGCAGGATCGCCACTGGCTTCTGTTCTGAGCCATATCTGATAACGTCTCTAGCCACTGTGTAGCACCATCTCTCGGCCCCCAACCAGGGAGTCGTAAAGGACCGACAGAAGCCAGTCCTTTGCAGCTTTCTTTCATACCATGACACCATGTCATGCATTGACTACCTCTGCTTTTTCCAACCAGTCCCAGGGTCGGAAAATAATGCACGACGTGGAAATCACTGGGACGACATTCGTAGAACATGTCCAAGCCACCGAAGTCGGTGTTTCAAGATGGTGACACCAATTGCATCATCATCTCTGTGCCCGAACACACGATGTCGAACCTCTGCATTACTAACATGGTGTTGCCACTGGATATCAGCAATCCTTCGGAGACAGCGATGGTCGAACGCAGAGAGTCGTCTAACGTCGTCAACTCGGAGAGGCCAGGTTTCACAAGCATAGAGCAAAACTGCTCTCACCGACGCGTTGTAAATCCGACCTTTTACGGCCAGACTAACATTACGAAGGCGCCAAAGATGGCCCAGATTGGCATATGCCGCTCTGGCTTTCACTATACGTGCATTGATCTCATCACTCACGCCACCACCACCAGCATTTATGCAGCTACTCAGATACACGAACTTGTCAACTACTTCTATCTGCTCACCACGCAGGGTGAGTACAGGATTAGAATCCTGCCAGTCTTGTAGAAGTACTTTGCAGTTCGAAGATGCAAAGCACATACCATACCTACGGACACTGATCGCCAACTGATTAAGTGCGGATTGCATGGCTTGAGTATTATCGCACAGTAAGACAATATCGTCCGCATACTCAAGGTCGAGGAGTCTTTCTCCAGGCAACAGATCCACACCACCATTACTTACATCCATCAGAGCTGTTTCCAGAATGTCATCGATGGCAAAGTTGAAGAGGAATGGTGAGATTGGGCAACCCTGCCTAACCCCACTGCTCGAATAGAACAATGGAGAAAGGTGGTTGTATGCCCTCACTCTGCCTGTAGTGTTTGTATATAGGGCTTTTAGGATGTTAATAAACTTCTCAAGCACACCCTTCTTCAACAGATAATCCCAGAGAACAGCCCTGTCCAACGAATCGAAGGCAGCCCTGATGTCAAGAAACACTACGATTGTTGGCCTTTGAAAATTATGACGGTGTTCTAACATTTTGCGGAGGGTGAAGATATGATCAATACATCCTCTACCAGGACGAAACCCAACCTGCTCCTTGCGAGTCAATCTATCTCGGGTTTTGAACAACCTACGAAGTATGACGGAAGCCAATAGCTTGGACGCAATCGGAAGTAGACTTATCCCCCGATAGTTGTTACGGGAACGACGTGAACCCTTTTTAAAGATAGGGACAACTATCGACTCATTCCATGACGTTGGCACACTCTCTAGCTCCTAGACCTCCTTAAAAAACACGGTCAGTTCCTTAGCTAGAAAGTCACCTTCATCTTTAAAAGGAGCCGGAGGTAAGTCATCTGGGCCAGGTGATTTGTGACGCTTCAAGAGTTGAAGTTCCTTGATGACTTCCGCCTCATTTGGTGGATCAATCGTCACCGGCCATGGAGGGCAGGACAGTCTGACCGATGTTGCCGGAGCAGCAGACCCGTTGAACTGCCTTTCGAAAAGCTCTGCCTATCGTCCAGGACGTCGATGGATGTTAATGATTGACATCATATCGTCCTCATAGATTGTTTAGCTCACACCAGACTTCTTGCTGCCAGTGGCTCGGATGAGTTGGAAGAGCATCCGGTAGTCACCAGATGCAGCTGCTGCTTCCAGCTCATTAGAACGCTCCGACTACCAGGCTTCTCGGTCCTTACGCAAGCTTCTCCCGATTTCATTACGTAACAGCCTTCGTTTGTGATCAAACTCACGGTCACACGGAGTAGACCGACGAGCTTCAATGAGTTGTAAGGAACCAGAAGAAACCCAGTGCTTATAATTGGGACGTTTCGCGAAGCTGCAAGCGACTTTACTCACGATTTTCATGACGTCATGCAATTATACTGCGCGGCAGTTCCTTTTTTCGTACTTTACGGCTGCGATACTTGGCTATTATGAGTTGAAGATATTCGCGAGCTACTATTATTTGACCACAGATTCCTTAGAAATATTGCTGGCATTTGCTGGGATCTCCGAGTAAGTAATAGTGAGGTTAGATGGATGGTATTAGGGAATGATGGTAAATCAGTTGATGAGGTTGTAAATCTTCATCGTCTGAGTTGGTTGGGCCACCTGTTACGTATACTTGAACACCGATTACCTCGGCGCTAAATGTTGACTAGTTTTGGGGATGGTTGGAAGAAAGTTAAGGGCGGCCAAACCAAAACGTGTTATCAGTGCTTGAAGTCACTAACTTCTAGTCTTGGCCATGTTGGTAGATGCAGACTACTTGGTTGTGGTCCGCGTGACTATCGTAACCAATGGTCGAGACTCTGTGTGACATCTATTTTTGTATTTTTAAATCATCTACTTAATTATAGAAAGTAGATAATTGGTTTCAGTTATTATTTTTTCAATATTAATTTTGTTTGGCTATTCAGTCGGAAAGAACTCTTCATATGTCTAACATTCATTTTGATGTTATCATGTGTTATAAACAACTTAAGACCTCATTGAATCTCAGTTTTAAACAGAAATTCTCAATTAATATTAATCTACCTCAATTAATTTTAAGACGTCTAACTTCCGGCCACTTAAAGATTGTCAAATTTCTTCGAAAAACTGTTTGTTACTCCTTCATGATAACGAACAACAGCAAACTTACCATTGATATTTCCAGTAATTGTAAATAGACAATAATTGTTTACGACTACTTTTATTTTGGATTACCACTAGTTTAAAGGCACAAGTTTTTCTGTTTTGACTAAGTCCAGCTAGTTGTCATGTAATTTATTCGTCAATCGAAATACGACTTATTCACTCTTGTACTGTACTAAACCAATGACTTTCGACCGATCTGATCAGCCTAGCGTCGTTATTAGTCCTTCGCTCGCATAGCCCTTCCAGTTGAGTTCAGAACACCAATAACAGCTTCCTCTATGCGAATCATTTATTCCAGACATACTTGGTTTATACACCAACCAAACAGACCGCATCGCACCATAAAATAGGTAATAACATTTATACAAAATAAAGCCAAAAGTGGCTGTGAACGTGAGAAACTGTAATCAATAAACTGAACATAACTTAAGAACAGTAAATCGTATAATAATAATCTATAGGTCAAAATGAAACTTATAATAAGGGGAATATAGATATACATAATCTAATCACTGAATGGTCGTTTGTGATAATATTAGATGAAACATTTTATAGTAAACTACTTAACAGATCTTTATGAACGATGTGTCTTGAGAAGAACTTGCTTGCATAACCTAATGACTCAGTCGTCAGATAGCACATTACAAAGGTGACTAAACCTCAAGTCTTTTTGCATTGTATTTCAAAGTCAGTTGATGCTATAACAGCCTTAATTAAAGAGCTACAATCTATACTTTATTTAAGGCCTTTAGTTCACCAAAACTTTGACTTTTGGTTGAACTTAGTCAATCTAAGAAGTAAAGATTATTGTTATAACTGTTAGAGATAATCACGAAGTTATAAACTACTGTTTTTTTCCAACCTTTCAAAATACTTCATCATCTACACACAACCCCATTGATCTACGTGACTAAAGATGCTTGATAACCTTTTAATTTCTTGTAAATTACTTTGGTAAAAGTAAATAAATAAACAATTCTAAATGAAATATGTTTCATTTTTATTTTATAGTAAAATGTTTAAATCTTATTACTTAAATACGCATTGTAGTCCATATTTATAATTGCTTACTGGGTTTTTGTCTTATTGATACTACGTCTTGAACATTCTTTTTAACTGACTGGAGGATTTATTTATGTATGTATGTCATAGAGAAAGAAGCCAGTACTGTACAGCTCTCTTTCATATCACGAAACCATGTCACACTGTTATGACTGAAAAATGCTGCTGATTAAGGGGTAGCGAATCATTGATCGGACCAAAGACGCGCAAACACGTAGAACGACCTAGGGTTCTGATTGGCCCCGCTTCCCTGTCTAGCCCAGCGAGTTAAGTCCAGAACGCAAGTCTCAGCCTCGAATATATGAATCATTGTATTTCAGACATACTCTATTTATATACTAGCCAAACAGACCACATCGTACCATAAAAATAGAAAACGACATTTGTACAATATTTAACGAATGAAATAAATAATGGCCAATAGGAAATGTTCATTTAACGTCCAAGGATATCATTAGACTTAACATGATAATGATTGGCACATTATTCCTCAGCTTCCCTAAAACCTCCCCTTTTTTTCGAAGATCCGGAGTTGATATCCGGATTTTAAAATTTTCTGCATCCGTCCTCCCCCGCGAAATAACGTTGGGTCCTCATATACCCAAGTAACAGCTAGTCTGATTCTATTTAAAGCATATTTCCCTCATTGGGTAGAGAGTCCACTAGAACTGACTAGATGGTGAGGATCAGCGACACTAGACATGAGGTCATTAGGGTTTGATTCTTGTGAAACATTTCCATCAGATCTCTTCAAAATTCCATTAGTGGATAATAGATCACTAAAATAAACAGCATCTATCAAAATTGTATTAGATTTCTGACCATTATTTGATGCATGGGACACATTTTCTGGCAAAATAAGAGGATCTTTTCGTGAGCTGGATATGCTACTGTCTGTACATGCTGTTTCGGGGATGATGGAGTTTGACTCCATTACCGGGCATGTTTCTGGAATGGAAAGAACTGGACCACTGGGCGTATCATAGATGACTGCCGTTTCGTTTGAAGTACAGTTTATCGAGGATTCATGGAGGCTGCTGTCATTTTCCAGCTCACTGAGTAATTTAGATATTAATCCATCCACTTCCGTCGCATCTTCATAACATGACTGGTTTAGCAGCTGCGTGCGGAATTTGACTAATAACTCCAAATGTTTTTCAAAGAGCAGCTGTAATCGATCGGAAGGTAGTCATTTTTTTCTTTGAATCAGCACCGTAAATGAAAGTTACAGTATGAATAATGGCTAATGTCGTTCACACCAGACTTCTTGCTGCCAGTGGCTCGGATGAGTTGGAAGAGCATCCGGTAGTCACCAGATGCAGCTGCTGCTTCCAGCTCACTAGAACGCTCCGACTACCAGGCTTCTCGGTTCTTATGCAAGCTTCTCCCGATTTCATTACGTAACAGCCTTCGTTTGTGATCAAACTCACGGTCACACGGAGTAGACCGACGAGCTTCAATGAGTTGTAAAGAACCAGAAGAAACCCAGTGCTTATAAGTGGGACGTTTCGCGAAGCTGCAAGCGACTTTACTCACGATTTTCATGGCGTCATGCATTTACAACCAATGCTCATCTTTACTTTTCGGTGGGATGTTAGATAGTTTTGAACCTAGCTCGATTTATTATTTACTTGCAAAATAAGGTGAAACCAATTTACTGACATCGATCCGCTTGGTACGATGAGTTTCCCAGCCACTGAAAAGTAAGGCAAGATTATCGCAAACAAGGGCATGATCAGAGTTCAGATAGGTACTCCAAGAGGAGCGTAAGTCTTGTACACAACCACGCCAGCGTAGCAGATCGCGATGTGATCAATCTGAGTCGAGACTTGAGATTCGAATGAGGGACACTGGGTAGCACAGCGGCGATGACTGTATCGGTAGTCAGTGCTAGCCAAAAACAGGTCGTGGTCTGCACACAGTTGCAGCAAATGGTCCCCGTTATCTAACCTGCGACCAACAAGTCCCCATCAGCCACCTAAACGACTCTCTTCTGTGCCTAGACGCTCGACCTGAGCATTCAAGTTTCCGACTATTACTACAATATCTGTCGAACGCATTTTCTGGAGAAGAACAGTTAACTGGCGTAAAAACCTATTCTTGGTCGCATCCAGGCTGCAATCTTTCGGAGCATAGGTGGAGATAATGAAAAGACAACGTTTCTCACAATGATTTCTCAATTTGATGGAACATTCCAGTCTAACAGCAATAACCGACTGTCAGTGGCGATCCAATCGATCAGTGTTGCCTCAATTCCAGTGATAATGTCGAAGGGAACCAATTTGAATGGTATACGTGGTTTCAGAAAGACTGAGTATTCGTATTTGGTGGTGGATTTCAACTTTCAGTCAGTCAGCGACTCGAAATTTTTTTGGGTAGGACAAGGTTTTCACCGTAGGTGAGCTTCTGTATAAGTTGAAAAATAAAATACGCAAAATAAGAATAAAGGGGAGTGCATAAGTAACATTGTAGTCTGAGTAACCGTTGAAACAAGAGAAAACTTTCCATTCGTACTTGTCATTGGTTTGTATAAGGGCTTTGATACTGCCCGGGTGTCCAAACCGAAGCAGGTGATTTTCTTAAGGGGCCACACCCCAAGCCTTTGACCTGAATGGCCAACCCACAAGGCAGTGAAGTAATGCCAGGAGATGCAGTCCCCATGATGGCCAGTGACCAACAATAGGTTCATACGCCATTTGTTCCCTCATGATCCTGGAGCCCATGTACACCATTGGTTTGGAATCATGGTTTCCCAACATTCATTTTTCGTCTCCTCAATTTCGTGAACAACACTCCGGTTACGAGGAGGCAGTGATTAGGACTTCCCTGGCAGTTGTTATGGACGTGGCCATATGAGAGAATTTCGAGAGGGAGAGCAGACTCACCCCACCTTCGGCCATACCAGGGCAAACTTAGATAAGTTACTTCATCATCTACTTTTGAATACGATGATCAATTAAGTGAATTCTTATAAACATAGGACAACAGTAATAATATAATAATATGTATTAATTTTGTCGCTAACTGTTCACAACCTATTGTTCAGTTCTTGTCATACTATCGCAATTTTTGTTGTTTCTTGATTAAAATTTATAATATACAATAAATTCGCCGACTACACTTTGGATTTCCAATGAGCTTACGTTTAGTCATGATTTCGTATTATGTAAGTGGTTAATAGTTACCATTCTTAAATGTCTATTACTACATATCAGTATATGATTATTTCTCTGGACATTTAGAACCTTAACTTTGAAATCCGTTCTGAATCTGACGAATACCTTTGCTTTAATTTTTTTATTACTTTTAGACAATTGTCCTAAATTTGAAATTCCCGGTAGAACCTTCCCAGTGAAGACATATTATTTAGAAGATGTTTTGAGAGAAACTAAGTAAGCTGACTTCGTGTAATAATATTATAATCAATAATCACCCGGTAAATCGCACTCTTCAGTCACTATAAATATTTATTTGTAATGTTTCTTAAGTAATAATGTAACATCGACGTATAATTCCTAGTCTTGTTATGAGGATTATGATTGTAGTGTTATTCTTACGTGTATTATTCTGCTTAAATATTGTCTCATACTAGATATTTTCATTAATCAATGAATACTCGTTTGAGTACAGATTGTCACACAATAATCTCATTTTATGCTCTTTTTCCTACTATTTCATAAAGCTTATATTTTTATTGGTTCCAGCGGTATTCAGTTTCGTTTCTGAGATTTGATAACTAATCCACCCCGTACACTGAAAGAAAGTGACTTTTCAGTTTCCCCTTTTTTATTTTTATAATTAATTAAAATATGTTCTGTAACTCGTTATTACTTATATTTCAAGTGTAGAAAACCTAACTGATACCGTTTTGATAGTGAGGAATTTAACCAGTTAGGCTTCAAAATGAAAATTTACCTAGTATTTAACTTTTAATGAATTCTTGAGTGACCATTAAAACTGACAGTATAGGTTATAGCTGATTTTCTTTATGTAACTAAAACATCTTGATATTACGTTTAGTTGCTTCCTATATACTATAGTTATATGTTTGATCAATTTATTTTTGGTTTACATCTGTAAGTTTTTCTATTGATTATTAACTTTGTTTCTACATTCTTTATCATTTAGTATCAATTGAGTTTCAATTATATCAAGCAAAAAAATTGGATTGAAACTTTTTATGAATTTATTATTTCTCTTAGATTTTGGTTGCCAAATAATGCTATAACCGCTTTATGCCGTGATCAATCACGTACATTAAAACAGCGTCTTTTAAAATCTAATCTTTCAAAAAAAGAAGCTCGTTTATTATCTTATGGAAAAAGCCCTGAATTCAATAAATGGTTGCATTCATTAACAGGGTATGTTAAAGTTTTTAGAAAGAAAAAATATCTTTCATTGGCTTTTTCCCTCTATAATTTTCCGCGATATGAAAATATTGCTTTTTTGAAAAAAAGTGTACCAGTTTCCCTCAAATGCTCTGGTGCATCTGATTATGAGGAGAGTTATTTCCCCCTCTTCAAGTGCTCTCATATTCACACACATTCACAGTCCTTGTTACGGAAAGCTTTTCTCATAAATTCCATGCGGTGGGTGTGTTGTTAACAAAAGTGAAAGAAAAGCAAACTTCAGGAGCTCAAACTGGGAGGGTGGATACTCAGGTTGTGCCAAGAGGAGTTGGAGAACCCTAGTTACAAATTATTGATGTACAAGGCCTCTAGGATCCTGACGATACGAACGGCATATGAACATATTTATGGTCACAGGGTACCATGAAACATCGTTTCCCGATATTGCTCCTTCGCGTCATGGAATAGACCTTTAGGCCTAAGATTCGAGGAATGAACCCTCTAAGGAAACAATCTGCTTTTGTTTGAGCGCCTGAATGATATTCCAGCCCATATCCAAGTATTCTTTGTGGTTTATACTATTTTTGGTACCCAGTTGTACCAGATTTTCTGTGTTTTCTGTGTTCACTAACTCATTGACACAGTTATCTGGTTGCACATTTAATATGGCTTTCTCCACAGGAGCAGTTTAATTCGTAGCTACACATGGATGTAGCAAAATCAGGTAACTTATCCTTTATCAACCACCATAAGTGGGCTAAAAAACGATAGACAGACTTTAGTTGCAATAAAAGTCCTCTTCGCTTTAGTCACTCTATTTCTTAGTACATCTCTAGCCATATCTTCGCCAAATCGTAGCTTCAGGAAGATAGGTTTCCTACTAACCGTTGATTTCACTCTTTTCCTGTCCGTTTTGCCAACTTGCGTCTACCAACCAAAGGACGGGTTTACTGCGCAGCAGTTCGTTCCGTTCTTTATGGCAGTGAAACATGGCCGGTAAGAGTAGAGGATATTCGTACGTTACTAGTATTTGATCATAGGTGTCTTCGAAACATTGCTCGTATATCCTGGGACCATCGAGTAAGTAATGCAGTTGTTAGGGAACGGGTACTATGTAAGGATGGCAAATCAATTGATGAAGTAGTGAAACTTCATCGGTTGAGATGGCTTGGACATGTGTTACGTATGCCCAACCACCGACTGCCTCGACGTGCGATGCTCAGTGGTATAGGAGTAGATTGGAAGAAAGCTAGGGGCGGCCAGACCAAAACATGGCACAAGTCCATGAAGTCACTGACAAGTAGACTGAGTCATGTTGGTAGGTGTAGACTACCTGGTTGGGGACCGCGAGATGATAGCAACCGATGGTTAGAGACCCTGAATGACATGGTTCAAAATCCTTTGCCATGGAGCGGGTGCATCCACTTTTTGTGTTCTCCCAAATTCTAGTTTTCTGAATTCTTCATGTCCCTTTTTTTCTCTTTCCAAATTTATTTCACTGGATTATACTCCTTGAATGACATTTTCAAACTCTAATCTTTCCAGTCACTGCTTATACTTTTACTACCTTTACCACTATGGGATTTGAATCGACAATTGTATTTGTGTGCTAATGTGGTATGGCAACTCGAACTGGTGTACGTACGTACGAAGTTCTACGTTGTTACTGACTGATTGTATAACTAAATATGACAACCCGAAATGCAATAGATATTTTATTTTTATTTCTAACATACCAAATTCTTCACCCTCTTCAAGTATATTCTTTACTCTCCAATTATTTACGTACTTCTTTCTACACAAATTTATATTTTTATATTTTGTTATGTCACTATGTTTTTTTTTCGCATCGTTTACTTTTTATCATGAAGCTGTGTTTCAAGCCCTTTTTATTCTTATCACTAATATATCTATACTTGTACTTTCTACCTATGCTATATATTTTTTCTTTGTTCCTTTTTACTATTTAATCATGTGTTAATGTAATTCGTTTATTTATTTATCTACTCTGAAGAAGAAGGTTTACATTTGTGTGTGATGTGCGGGAAGTTTAATTTTCTGCTAACTTGGATATTACAAATACATCATTTATTTTTTAAACATTCTATATAATTCTCAGCTTTAAAAGTATTAAACCAAATTTTGTTAATGATGACTACATGTTTTGTATTCGTCAAACCATTCGGTATAATCGACCATTATGAGTTTAATGATTTTCGCTACTTTGTTGGTTGGTTTCACTAATTAATCAATGATGGAATTTGTTCGCAAACTTCTTACTAAAATTTGTATTTAATTGTTATAAAATGGAAGTAGGTTAGACGTAGCGTCATTTTCAGTAGTGGTAACTGTATCATTTGTTTATAAACACTTGTTTTATTCTTATTCATCGTCAAATGTACTATGAAATATACACTGATAACTGAGGCACTAGCAAGATTAAACATTCGGATGCCTTAATTTTGTTAAGCACTTTTATTTCTCTCTTTTTCAATATACCTGCCTTATTTTTAATTCTTACCTATACTTTTATGAGTTTATTGATCTCATGTGACATTTTTCTATTGTTTTCTGTAATTACCCCTTTTATATTCACGTATTTTAAGTTCATGGTAACGTTTTTTGTAACCAAGCATTAGACTAAACGTTTTGTTATAATGTAACTGTACAGTTTGATTATACAATAAATTCAAGGAAATTCTCCACTCTTGATACTAATTAGCCGTTTCAACTCAATGATATCGTACATGTTCATAAACTGGACGTTTGATCTCACATTTTTATGGTAGCTAGAAACGTTATTCAATCGTCTAGTGGTTGTAAGAGTTCAGTAGAATATTCTGTATAATTGTTTGTACTTGTCAATAGGGAGTATCTACATACTTGAAGGAACCTAGTGCTCCATTAGGAGCCCAAACCTAGTTCACACGTTTTGACAGCAAAAGATCACTCTGATATATATCTTAGCACCTCAAATCTGGTTGGTAGAAATTAGTCAGTAGTAAAAGCAAAACATTTCTAGTGCATTCTATGTAGAAATTTATTAGGTATATTTTCAGGGTTACCCTGAAATATTCCCAATTTGTAATAAACGCAAGTAGATTCTATACTGCAATTAATGAATAGTGTTCAATCTATCTATTAGATTCTAAATCATATCGACCTATCTACATTCGCCATGATTAGCGTTTTTATTATCATTGTACTTAGATTTTATAATATGCATATGTTTATTTCTAAAGTAATAGGATCATCAGTTGATTTCATCGTTTAAATATTGCAGTAACACAAATAAAACTATGTTGAAATCATTTTCCTTTTTTGTAGGAAAAATTCCGACTTTTTATGCTTTTGTTTCTGTAACGAACTAAATATAAGGTTACTTAGTACTAATATGATCAGTGGTGTTATATTTTGATTAAGGGAACTATATTTTTCTCAAATTTATATACTAACCAGCTTTACAGTTGTATAAGCCTTCTTTCCTTTAATCAACTGAAACATACTCCTTGACCAAAAGTGAAATTTGAATTCTCTCAAACAAAGTGCAGAAATTTTCATCAGCTTTTCCTGAGATCAATCAATTTTGCAATTTTCATTTATCTATCTATATTTTTAATCTTTACAATACAGATTTTATAAGTTTCTATTAAGTAAGTACCCTCCATTTTCTGAATTACGCTAACCAAATATCTAGATGAAAACCACTTAAATGTTGGTGTGTTGGAAAAAATCACTGTTCTCCTGATGTTTGAAAGTACAAGAAAATCTAGATGATGATTTAACTTCAATTTCCCAATACATATTTCTATCTATTTTGTCATAAGAATAAAGAAGCAATAACTTTCTGGAAATTAACATTTTGCAATTATTATGTAGATTATTATTAATATTTATCAAATACAGTCTAACTTTTGCATATACTAGTTACCAGCTTAACCGTACATCTTGGTATTATTTATTAAAAGTCTCTAATAAAATTTTTAACTTTGAACATTCAGATTATCGTCCAATGCAATAGAAATTTTACGTAGTGTTGGAGAAGATACCTATCCTCAAACCGATCTTATTGCACATTCAGTTGAGCATATTTTACAGAATACACAATCGGGTGCAATACTTGTTTTTGTTCCAGGTCTTGTCGTAAGTCATCATCTTTGTGGTGGTGTTTGATTTCACTATAAAGATTGATATGTATGTACCATTCAGTATTTCATTACAACTAATTTTTTCATGTTTTAGATGCGATACCATGTTATCTTACATCGTTTATTCACGATTGTTGATAACTTCTCTTGGTTGGCTAACTGTAATCAAATAACTTGATTGTAGATTAAGTGATGTTTTTGTTGGTGTCGTTGTGTAACGAGTGATTGTAAATTTTTTGATATTCTTAATCTATACAGCGTCTAACCCTGATCAGTAATCAACTTGAAGCTCAGTTTACGTGAAATATGTCTTATATAATTAAATTAAAATGCCGGAAATTTCTAAAGTTAGTACAAAAAGATCATAAATCTTAAGTTTTAAATGTGTCCCTCAAAATTTGTGCGTGTCAATAAATCCAACTAATGAACTTTTTTCATACTCAAATAGATATTCAAAAACATCCTGAACTTTAGTAGTGTGGTGTATGCTACTTATATTGACAGATACAAGTGGTATGTAGCAGCGATCAGAAGTGGACTGCCTGAGAGCAGATGTACAAATAGTATACTTAATGCATGATTTTCACATTCTACTAAACCACCGCGTGATTACGCATCGAACAAGAAATTAGCTTCTCCCACCTGAATGTTCATTCACTACAGTAGTATTGTATTTTAAAAATATTTATTTTGATTGTTTTTCTGGGTTTTCGATACTGTAAAGAAGTTATTAAATGAATTCACTTAAACAAATTTAGCTTCAAAGTAAGTGGCATTATACACTATGGTGCCAGTTCGACAGGATTATATTAAAATCACCATTAATAAATATCAAACCATTTTATTTCTATTAATTTCTTGTGTGCATCTTTTTTTCAACTTAAAGTTCCACTGTTTACTTCTTTGATTATGTTTATCGCTTACTAGGACATAAAAGATGTAATCAGATGTTTGCGTGAATTAAATCCAAGACGATATGATGATCGTTATGGAAGTGTTAGAATTTATCCATTACACTCAAGAATCCCCACGTCTAGAGATCGCTCACTGTTCGAACCCTCACCAAAAAATCAAAGAAAAGTGATTATAGCAACTAATATCGCTGAAACGAGGTCAGTGAAGATTTATCACTACACTTTATTTCAATGTGCCGCTGTTTATCCATCTATCTATCTGTTTATATGTTTTTTTTTCAAAAGACCGTCGAAAATATTTGCTATTAATAAAATCGCACAGTAATAAGTAAATTACGATACATGTATGAAAATAAATAAGTTTAAATTTTATGACATATATTCCAACAAATGACTACAACAAACGGCGATCTTTTACACCAGTCCCATCTATTATAACAATGACATGCTGTGAAGTAGACGTATAACAAAAATCTGATAAAAAGTCCAGCATGAAATAAAATGTGGAGAAAGTAGTTGCATTGAGATTTGAATGATTCAAAGAGAAATTAGGATTAAATACATTTGTTCAGTACTAACTATTGAGTTTTCTTATCTGTCTAATACCATCTATTAAGCTTATAGTTTCACTGAAATAGAACTGACGTTTTATCACTTTTGTAAATGATGGTAGCGTATCTTGTTATATCTAACGATACGGCTTCAACTGTCATCCTGTTTTTCTTCATTGGAGTGCTCACTTTGTATGAGTAAAATATTTTGTGACCATTTCTCACTGAATCATGTGGATGCGGGATGAAAAACATTTAATTCGTTTATCATTACAGCTCATTTTAGTTCTTGACTCCGCATCATATGTTCATGGACCGCTGTCCTGTATGATGCTACACTCATGCCTAGATGTGGTTTTGAATGTTTCACCATTACTCCACGTATCAGTTGGTTACTGATTTCAGAACATGAAATTTAGTATGTTAAATATCGTTTCTCTGATAGTGCAGCAAGAAGACAGTTGATCTAAAAAATGTGATGTATTTGAGTCATTTAGATCAACCTGATCACACGTACATTTACATATTCAGGCGTTTTTTATATGACAACCAATAAAGGTTAATTAAATAAGAGTTCAATAAATATAACGTGATAATTAGAAAAAAATAATATAAAACGATAAGAAGTTATTACACCACGGTAGGTCTTAAAATGAATTAAAACCTACCAGGATAGATTCAATGTTAGAACAAACTACAATGTCAGTTGAGAATTGGTAATAATATTGTATAAACGGACAAGAGAATCTCTTAGCCTAATGATTTATCATTTACTTTTCAAAATTACAGGTAAGACTTATTAGATTCTGTCATTTTTTCTACTGATTGTTAATGGGTTCACAAGTTCAGTGTAAGGCTACATGTAAACCTGGACCAACCGATAACAATGAAAACATACTAAAAATATGATGAACATCTGCTACCTACTAACTGTCTAATTCTAAAGTGATTTTAGTCAACTTGTTATGTAAAAATGTAATACGTTTTGCTTTTGTTTGGAGAATTTGAGTGATCTGCTTTGTGAAAGTAAATACCTTTCTTTCTCTGTAGCATAACCATTCAAGACGTAGTTTATGTGATTGATTGTGGTCGTATCAAAGTGACAGATTATGATCCAAGACAAAACACGTCAACTTTAACTGCGATCCTGGTTAGCAAAGCCAATGCAGCTCAGCGTTCTGGAAGAGCTGGCCGGTAAGGTTTCTTAATATAAAATTTCAAATGGCTTCGTGTTCTGTCTTTCCGACAAATTTTATCTTAAATAAGGAAATTTAAATCTTGATCATGTTCTTTTTATTATATTATGCTAAATTAATTTGCAATATCAAAGTAATAAATACTTTGGTGGTAGAATACGTCAATCACAAATCAAGTTGCTTTAGTGATAAGGTATAATATAATTATTTTAAATGGTATTTATTTAGTTTCTCAATAATCAATTATAATTTCAATGGCTAAGTCAGAGAGTTGTAGTTGATTTTGCTAAATATTCTAACAAAATCCTAGGTCATGAAGGCAATGTACAATAAGAAAACTGCTCTTCACTCGTACTCTATGGTTCATAATTTTCTCATAAGTTTATTACGAATGTAGTGTAACTAGTCTAAAAATGAAATGTTTTTGCTTAAATATCAAAGCTTCAAAAACATTTAACGGTTGTTAGCTCCTTTGAATACCACACTTGCTATCTGAATAACAAAATCTGAAAGAATGTTAACGTTTATTTTCCAAGATATTCCTACATTTTGCGTGTATTAAACGTGTAAAATTTATCTGTCGATTACTAAAATCAAATAGCGGGTTGTAATAAATTTTACATTTCCAAGTCATGCATCTTGATTATATTCTTTCTGTCAGTCTCGACAGTAATATTACCTGAAGACATTGCTTCATGCATTTTTGGAGATGATAATTAAAGACTTACTTCATTCATTTAAGAATGTTACTGATTCACGTTCCACCATGCTGAACTGACCATTTTGAGTATCAGTTTAGTGTTATCTTGCTGTAATGATTTCAAATCCGTGGTGTACAATTATATTTTAGGCTTTAAGTTAATGCGAATGTTCATTATGGGTGTTCTCTAGAGAAACTATCTACTCAACTTTCAGTTAATGACTATGATTTAAAATTTAATCGGTTTTTATTCGAAACTATGAACCATACTTCAATACAAACAATCAAAAACGGTTTATGTAGGTCAGCAGCAGTAATACACGAAATATTAACCAGTCCATTTACTACAAAGTCACCCAAATGCTTTAATATTCTCTTTAGTTTTTGTATGTAAGCCCTCTCACTTCTTGATTTTGAATTCCATTTAAAATAAACTTCAGTTGATTCCATCTGAGTTCTGAGATTTCTACACCTTACTTCAGCCTACCATCAATACCACGAACATTTAGCAATATTCGTACCTTGTTGATACCTGTAATTACCTATCTGTATCTGAACACTACTGCGTCATTGTGATTATTTATCACTTAAAAGTAATCGTTCAATTCTAAAACCGTTTCCAAGTATCGTAATTTGTTAGTTGTACTTCTTAAATATAGCTTACAGATAAAGCAATTTACTTATTAGCGTGATAATTTTTCATCACATTTTGTACTATACTGCAGGGAGTAAAAATTATTTGACCTAAGAACACTATGATTTATTAATGAATTTGATATACTGATTCAATTGTTTATTCCTACGAATTAAGTCATTTCAGGTTATTTTGCACTAATATTTAATTAATTCATGCAGAATTTTTCATTTTAACATCATCTCGGTTGTCTAATTATTCAGTTGTCAATTACCAACTATAATATCTATGTTGTTAGTAAAATAATTGTGTGTATGATGTTCATCGGTTTCATGTTCCAAGTAAAAAGTTGCAAAGTTACTTGTTATCATGACTGCAACTGTTAACTTTAGATGGATAGAGGTCAAATATCTATGTACTGCTCCGGTTGATTTCAGATCACTTAAGCTATCCAACCAGTGATTCTGTTCATGTCATGAAATTAAACCAAGAATTCTACACCGAACATGTACCTCTCCTATAATCAATGAACTCATTTTCTGATTCAATGTCATTGAATCGCCGCCTATTGATCCTTTCTAACTTAAATAATATCGTGTCTTTTTCAGCACTATTATTATGCCGATTCACTGTTATGACCTTAAATCGCTTTTGCCCCGCCGATACTTTGCTATGACTTGACTTTGATCTGTCTAGTCTAGATTATGACCTTAACGCGATAGGCTGAGCGACTTAACCTTGAGTCTAGTACGCGTGAGTTCGAGATGGGGTAGAGAGAGAACTATTCTAGAACCTGATTGGTTGGCAAGCACGCAAGTGAGAGAAGACAAGACAGTTGGAACACTGAATTCTCTGAATTCGGATTAGTGCAAAAAAATGTACATGAATAAATAAGTGAATATCCTGACCACACGTACGATAATTTGGAAAAATACAATTATGCCCGAAACTGGGAATTAGGGTAGAAAAGAAGATGCAAAATATTATGTTTAAATTACAATATTTTCGGAACAGAAAAGGGTGTGGCAGTGAATGTTACATAGAACGAAAGCTCATGTTATGTAGAATAAAATAGGGACAAAAATAAATATGTGTTTTACAAGGTTTGAATGAAATGAAATAACGTCCCTAGAAAATAGCTTTCGTAGTTGTCTGGGCTTCTTATTTCCCCGTTCACAACATTCACGTGTACACGTTTTTCGGTTGATTTTTTTTTATTAGTTTACTCATTTTATTCATAGTGTTTACTAAAATTTATCAATGATTGGTTGATCATACTCTATTTTGAGTTCCAGTGCTTTGGAACAAAATAGATGAAACCAAATAACAAAAGGCACAAGAAAAAAATAAAACCGAGATAATAGATTATTTAGCCTGTCTATATGAACTCACTGGTTTCTAAGTATGTCACTTAACCTACTTAAAAAAAACCCAAACAATGATGGCCACATTTTTCTCACAGAGTTTAGATAAATAGCTAGTCATGTCTAACAATACACATAATGTGTTTGTGAAGTTCCAATGAGTAGAAAATTAAATTTCTAACGTTTTATGATTTGGTGTAAGCCACTTCTTCAAAGAGTAAAATAAATAAACGAATTTAGCACAAATTTAAATAGTGCCATTTTCTATTTATTAAAACGTTAAAAACATTATTTCCATTATTAACAATCTACACCATGTCCAATCTATTTGAAAATATCAAGTCAAATCTTGATAATAATCATTAAATATCTATATTTTTATTAGCGTCTAGAATATTGTGGTTTTATCATCATAAATCTGTTTTTACTCTCAACCTTCAGCCTAGCTATTAACGTGCAAGTGTCACTCATTGACTCAGTTGATCTAACTTTTCTACTCGAACTAATTATTTCCCTTAAATTAACTATCATTCCATCTTGACGAAAAGGATCTTGGGTAGTGCTAGGAGTGATCAGGCAGTTTTCACTTTCCCGTTCCCTACATCATAGAATGCTTTTTCTTGTGTCACCTCATATTAGTGGGTTTTAAGTTTGCTACTTGCTATCTATCCTTTCTATTGTTATATTTAACTTACAGATCCTAAAAACTAAAATACAATGTAGTCGTGAATAATGATTACTTTATTTTCCACCATTTTTTCGGAATCACATATACTCTAGTTATTTTTAGCACACACAGAATCAGGATTTACAACATTCATTAGTGAATGTCTCCAATTGTATGATCATGTTTACGGATGGTGGTAGGGTTACTCATGTATTTACTTAAAATGTTCGGTATATTATTAATTGTCTAAAGAACCTTTTTTCTTTCTGCATCTTCCTTTAATTATTCCTAGTGTACAACCTGGCATCTGTTATCATTTATTCCCAAGTTATGTATACAATAATGTTATGTCAGATTTCCTACAACCGGAAATGTTACGTGTCCGTTTAGAAGATGTGATTTTAAGAATAAAAGTAATCAGAGCTATTTTGTATTTTTTCTAATATTTATTCTTCGAAACAATTCCTTTTACATACTGTATACCAACCGATCTCTTCTGTAATCCACATCAGTAAAATCCGAAATGTCCGTTTTGTCTTATTTAGGAACCTTCAGCTGGATGTACGTGGATACTAATTTTGATGTTTATGCTGTGATTTGAACCCAATACATTTCTCTCTGAACTCCAACGCGTTATACACTGAGCTGTGAATTCAAGATCGCTACTAAAGTGTTTTACAAATATAAATGTATTAGTAGTGGTTTTTTATACCCGTTTTTGACTAAATGGGAATAATAAGGCAATTTGCTGAGGATAAAAGTATGCCAATAGAATAATCAAGTCCACTCCTTAATATCGAAAACAGGAAAGCTCAAGCCCCTACATATATGTAGTAATTCGTTGATAAATTCCTTTAATTTCTCATATACAAATGTGTCTTTAACAATCATTCACGTACTGTAGAATCTTAGATCTCTTTTAAAATATCAAATAAACGTCACATGCAACAAATATCCCATGTTGACTCTTAACTGCTAAGGTTCATCTGTGTTTATTGTCTTTTCATATTATGGGAAGTATTTCATTTCATTTCCGAAGAAAATGTTAATTTCTCGAGGTCAAATTAAATTGCTTAGTTTTCACGAATAAAATTCCTTGCTTAATCTCTATGACTATTGAAGCTGTGTATTTGCCTAAAACAGTTGGCTAGTGTGGTGAAGCAACTCGTTCAACTATCTCTGTTTGCATCTGTGTTTTAAATAGATCTAATCAATATTTGAGTCAATCTAGTAGTATATACTAACTTCATCAGTTCGCCTGATTAGATTGATCAGCTATATTTATAGTTTAATAGAATTAAATTATTCGATCCAGTAAAATGTAGAATATACTTCTCATTAAATTCCTTAATGCTTAATATTTAACTTGCATGTCGCTATCTCATGATCAATCATAATCGCAATAGATATTAAGCCTTTTCTTAAAAGTAGTAATTCCTAGGAATTTTTCCCTTCCACTATTTTCTCTTATTTTCAGATTCTTTTACAAAGTCCAACCAATAAATTAAAAAAATAACAGAGCTTCTTTTTCGTCTTCACCTTTTCTATTTAATAGATCACATCTCTCGGTATTAATTTAAACACTGAATAATAAATGAATAAATTTAATTGACCTACATAAAAGAATATCAAACACAAGTATATGTCAACTTTATATAAGTAGACTGCAGTGAACACACGTTCATTTATGAATATATTTATTCGATTTCACTAGTGTACAATTAATAGTGGACTAGTTGAAAAATAGCAACTTGAAAGAAAAAAACACGGACGACATTGATATTATATTCAATCAATCAATAAACTTGTTGCTATCACTATGTATTTATTTTATTATTATTGTTTCTCAAATTATTTATCCTCATTTTTTTCACGGAGTTACACTGTCAATCAGGAACTCAACGACTTTTTCTGTTTTGTTTAGGGTTGTATACATTACTTAAAATAATGCATAGCTTGTTTTTAAGCGTCTGTTTGATAATTTTAGAGAGATATTTACGGATGGTTGATCACCGAGTGGTGGTCAATATCATGGCTGTTTAGTCCTTTTAGTGCTGATCGACTTCTGTCCATCCCTTTGAAATGTGTTCACTAATTTAAGTAACTAAACATCGAGTGCACTATAGTGATATGTTATTCAGTTCCCGTTTGTCGATAAGAAACCTTGAAACTGGGTTTTGTTCTGGTTAGTATTCATCAGCAATGTTTACCTATAGTCTTGGGGGGGGGCACAAACGATCCTTGTGGGATCTGAACCTCCATCCGCTTTACGAATACCGGTTAGCAAGAAACCTTGATGGAGAGTTTCTTGTCAGCCACCTATAACCACCCAGTATTTTCCCATGTATTATTAAACATATGGATTGTATTGAATGTGTACCAAATTTTTGTTATTAGATTAATGAATTTACACCATTTGTAATTACAATTAGATTACAAGTGATATTCCTTAAAAAAGGAGTTGTTACTCCCATTGTTAATATGAAATGATCATTGCTACCGAAAATAATAGCTTAGGATCTGTCCTAATAATCTATCGTATTGAATAAACATGCTCTATGAGAATATGATGAAGTTAAAAAGAAAGTAAATAAATGATAAGAAATCATAACGTCAAATAAACATGGTTTAGATTGTTTGGAGATTTACTTGTACCATTATCATAAATGGAAATTAATGTATGCTGTAATTCAATTAGTTATTTGGACTAGTTGTAAATATATTTAATTTTATTATGTTTACAATTGAATTCATTTGTTTTGTACGTTCGCCTAATTACTTTTTGTGTGTATGTTTTTTGTTTAGTTGCTAGGCCTTGGTCGCGTAAAGTCTTTCTTAATCAATTGTCTTGATTCTCCTTCTGAAGATGCTATCTCAAAAACTTTAATATTTCTTAGACAAATTCAAGCTCTGAAATTAATCAAATCGGAAACATCGAATTTCAATACATCTCATTCAATAAAATCTCATGAAAAAAGTCATAAAGTCAATCGAAAGTTTCTTCGAGAATTTTCAGAAGCTGTTAAAAAGGATGTAAATGCTTTTGGTATAGATTCTTTGGATCCTAATTGTATCCATTTAGATTCAACAGATGAAGATGACGATGAGTTAACTCCTCTTGGTGTACACTTAGCCAATTTTCCACTGGATCCACAATGTGCTAAACTCTTAATTTTCGGTGCATTATTTGGTTGTTTAGAACCAATTTTAGCTGTCGCTTCGTGCTTAACATTTCGTGATCCATTTGAAGTACCTTTAGAAAAACAACAAGATGCTGACCGATGTCGAATAGAATTGTCTCAGAATTCTCTAAGCGACCATTGGGTATTTGCTACAGTTATTCAAGTAAGGTACTATCTTTTAAAAAAAATTCCTTTGATAGCCAAAGTATGAATTTTTTACCAGATCATAAATTTACAGACGTTAGTTCCATAACTATTTATTTCTAGAATTTCCACTAATTGTGTATATTTTGTGCAAATACAGATTTTCTTGACGAGCAAGAATATTTGACGATGCATACCAATAAATACGAAACTTTATTTCTTATCCTTTACCGAATAATTTTGTATACAGTTATATATAATACAGCTTGTATTTAGCTTCAGTTGTCTATTTTAGAAAAGCAAGAGAGTATTCGACCAGAGAGTATAGTGTCCGTTTTTTTTTATAGTTTGACCTAATTCTAAACAATGAATCTTCCAAATAGTGTTAGTTCATAATCCCTTTTGCTTAAACATATTAACACATATATTCTTGTCTTTTAAAAATAATCATAAATTCCTTCTGCTTCTTTTTAATTATGATACCTAAGTCACTTTTGAACACTGAATCGCTTCTCTAACATTAGGGAATAACTTTCAAACCTATTTATCATGTCTTCACACCGCCGACTCTCAAAATGAAAACACATTTTCTGGAGGTTTTACATGAACTCGTGGATTATTACCAGCATAGACGAAAACCATATATTAGATAGCCTCTTGGTTTCATGTAAATTGTCTGTCGAAAATGATGTGATAGGCTCACCGAGTCATATATTCTGGTATTCAAATTTTACTGGTTGAATTCTAAATATTGAAGTTCAGTTAAGCCACGATACATTTCAATAAGCTTCTGAAAGTTCGTTTACTAAAGTTATTTTCACTATTTCTGGGTCAAAGTTAGTATATTGAAGTTCAAACAGTAGATGAAGCTTGGTATAAATCGATAAATCCGTGATCGTAAAGCGAATGAGTAAACAACTGACAGCTCGTTATCATTGCAATGAAAATGTCCTATTCACTAAATAATATCTTTTGTGTCGTTAAGTTCTCATCATTTGTTTACAACCTGCAATATTTAGAAATCCAAATTAGAAAGTAGAATGGAAATAAATCTGATTGGACGTTGTTGTGAGCATACAGCTGAACAATATAGCAAAAATGTAATATAATGTAATATGTAAATGTAATATATGTAATATTTAGATAGTAATAAACAGAACTATGTGTTTGAGAGTGTATTGCATCCTGGCTTTTATGTGCTAACCAACCAATACTCTATTTATTTGATTTTATGAAGTTTCTTTCTTTTTCATTTTCATATCTAAAGTAATGTAAAAATTATATTTAGATGGTATGAAATGTTTTAAAAACTGTTCTGTAGTTAAATACTTACAAAGTATTTATATTGAATAATTTCACTTTATTTGCATAAAAAATTCCTAGAGTTATCAAGGACTTAATTCACAAATGGAACGTCATCAATTTTGTCGAAGATATTTTCTTAATGAACGTACTATAAAGGTAATTTAATCAATTCTCTATCACTAACTTTGAAAAATCTTGTTTTTTATTCAAATTAGTTCATTAGAATATATTTTGAATCTCTGTGCTTTTTTTAAAGCTCAGTTTAGAACACAGCAAAAAAAAATCTCATTTAGTGCCGTTCAAAATGTTAAACAACCAAATACCAATAAGAACAGACGACCTAAGTGTTATAACTTGTGACCGCCGATTAGAGAGCACTGACTTATCGATCGGATCAAAGACGCGCAAAACACGTGCGAGCAGTCTACAGTTTTGATTGGCCCTTCTTTCCACCTAGCCCAGCCAGTTAAGTCCAGAACACCAGTCTCAGCCTCTGAGATATGAATCATTATATTTCAATCATACTGAGTTTATATACCAAACAAACAAACCACAACGTACCAATAAAATATGAAACAACATTTGTACAAGAATTAGCCAGATGTGGCTGTGAATGAGGAAGGCAGTGACTAATAGACAGAGCATAATTCAAGAATGTTAAAACGTATAACAATGGTTCATAAATCAAAATAAAGTTTATAATAAGCGGAATATGAATAGTTTAGTTATTTAACAATTATACGATAAAAATATACGTTTAGTATTGGTCCATAAAAGGATCCCAAAGTTACCATTCATTTTATTTATCGGGACCTAACACTAAGAAAAAAGTGCATCATTTTGAATAAACAAGTGATTGCAAATGAGTCATCTATATTTATGAGTTGAAATGGAAATCAACGACATTATTGAATGAAAAGCATAAAGTAACCGAGTTTAAAGGCAGCTGAATGGTGAATGTTTATGGTTCTATCCAATCAATTTTGACCTATACCGCCTAAAAACTCAAACCTTATCCAAACAGTCTTTAATGTCGTGAGATAGTTTCATATCTTGTTTAAAACTCTCACAGTTATTTCAGTTTTGACTATACTGATCGGTGTGGTGTTTCAGAGTAGGCGGTTATCTAAGCATGGATCACAAATAGCACAAACACCCAAGTGCTTGACGTTTGACTTCCTTTACATAGTGATATAACCATACTACTTTTTTATTCTTTTGACCATAAACAACCCTCCGAAGACTTTAACAATCAAATGCCGTCAAACTTAACGCTTTTTTATACAACCGAAAGACATATTTTGCGAATTTGTATTGTCACAGATCAAACTACTTCCCTCCATACTCACTTATGATAGGTGAACGATATTTCCACACTATATTTGATTTATTCATAACTACTTCATATAATCCGGATAAGTAAATTCTTTGCATTTAGTTTGCTTCAGAAACGAATATGGTTTTAAATCTGTTAATTCGGACTGGGTTTACATGTCAGTAAATATATTATCATATGATAAAATCTTGACTTCATTTCAAGACATCATCATCGGTCGATTGTACGTATGTTATAGCTAATATTTGGAACAAAGTACATTATAATTGACCAGGTAGAAATGGTGGCATATGTATTGCAAATTTCTTTAGAATCATGCGCTACATTGACTGACTAAAGTGCATTGTACATTTCAATATATATATATATATATATATATATATATATATATATATGATCAGTCTACATCAGTTTTATGCTTCAGTTGTACATTTGATGGCCCAATGTGTTGCATCGTCACTACCAACCTATAAATCATTCTACCCATTCAATAATATTTTGCAGATATTGCTGTTGACGTCACACTAAACCCATTCTACTATTTTCGGATTCGGTTAACAAATCTTTTGAGCACATAAAACCAACATCGTAAACTGGTTACTCTATATTCAATGAATATGTATTGATCAATGATTTAAGCACTTCATTTCCATTGAAACATCAAAATGAAAATAAATATAGTTTTGAAATCCACTTTTCATTTCTCCTTTCTTTCATAAAAACAACCTAAGAATTGGTACAACTTATGTAATTCACTACAAATCTTAGTTATCTGTATGACTGAATACACACATTAGGTAAAAAAATTATCAAAGCTTAAAACTTTGTTTTGTTGTGGAATAATTTTACTTAATTGTTCAAATACTAATTAGTATTTACTTTTTTTGTTAACTCACATTTTGATCATTCCTTAACTTCTTGCACAATTATAGTGATGGTAACTAACTGAGTGATTAATTTGTACAAATTTCTTTCCAATAAATTCAAATAATCAACTCCAATGATCTCAAATTTGCCTACCTCTTTAATTTTAAAGTACGACATTACGGATCAAATTTGTCGGTGTCGTATTCCGTAGGCTAGATTATGTAATTGCAAGCCATCCATTGTCATTCTGGACAACATTATCAAAATTTAATTCATTCAGATGTGAGCTTCTCAGTTTCTCTACAAGCATCAAATTAGTTAGTTCTCATGACCTTATTTATGAATGGTTATTTTCATCACTCTCTTCTTTTGTTGATGTTTGATCATTTGATTGATTGACCTTGTTTGTATGGGTGGCTAATATGGACCTAGTCCAACGTGTTTATTGATTGTAGATTGATCTGAATTCAAAGTTCTATGACATTTTTAGAATCCTGACGTTTTCTTAGTCGGACATTCAATAATATCTATATAGTCGCGTTAACAGATTTAGCTAACTTGTAAATATTGGAATGAATAAACATCAAAATAACAGTAATCATAATTATACCTTGTGTTGTAGAAGGATGAATATAATCGCATTGCTTTATTGACTGAATAATTAGCTGGTAATTAACTTTTAGAAATAGTTCCCAGTTATTTCGTATTCAATTAGTACTGGTAAATTGTTTGCATATACATTTAATGGAATTTTCAGTCTAAAGATGTCATGACACGTAGACGTATTAGAATTATTATTGAAGTTGGATTTTGAAAATAATTTTATAAAATGAACTATAAATAAAACATTTTTGTTAACAAGTAAGATTTTCACATGTCATAAAATGGATATATATATAAATTGTGTTTCATTGCTTCTTCTAGTTCGTAAAAGTCATTTCGAAGTATTATTCTCGAAGAGCTCATATTGTTGTGTTTGTGACTTTTTACTTATATTACCTAATAAATGGCTAGTATTCTCATTCAAGTTACAATCCGGTATCAATTACTTCAAATGCTAATATTTTCTATTTTATTGCTAAATTATGATAACTAATTTCAGAATCTAATCATTTTAGTCTTATGAACTTATCTCCATATTTTTTTTTAAAAAAAATAAAGATTTCTTGCAATTAGTTTTTTACCCAAACATAAATTGTAGCCATTATTTTTTTTATTTATTGGTAGTGATTGATTGAACTCAAAAAATAATTTTTTTTTCGTACATTCAGGTCATTTATTTTGAACTAAAACTGACTTGATAATGAAATATTGGTACTCTGTGATCTAAGGGATACAAAGTATATAAAATTTAATCTTTTCACTAACACATTACACCTATTATGATTTTATCAAGCAGGGTATTGTTTAATTGGTTTATTGATTAGAGGTTTGCTTTTTTTGGAATAATCTAAAACCAGCTGTTCAAAATAAAATACCATTCGATGTGTAAAAGGCAACACTGATTCCATCACATTGTAAAAATAATTGAGATTTTTGTCTATATATGAGCTGTGAAACTAAATAATTTTTTATCTACCTTTTTATTTCCATAAAATTCAATAATATACAATCAAATAGAAACGACTCACATTCTTTCCTAATGAATTGATTTTATGCTTATTAGTCTGTAAAAATTATTGATGTTCTCATGCTATTTTTCATGATATACTTCATGTGATCTCACTTCATAAATACATATATATTTGTACTTAATTTTTTTTGTTTGTTTGTTGATAAATGCAAATTACATTTCTGTCATTGTTTTTACTTATACATTCTCACCGATCAATGAAGTATCTTCGTGTATTTTTGTTTTCACATCTATTATTCTAACTTTTTCATAGGATATTATTCGACTTATGAATGACTATGCACAATTGTTATATGAACGAAGGTATATTGCTACTCCAAAACCTAATGATTCGAATGCAAACTGTAATCAATGTAAGTTGCTTTTCCTTTCAAAAAAAATGTACTGTACTTAGAGAGCATTTCAAACGACTTGTTAATTGTTATATTAGCATACTGACTCAAACGATCTATGGTCTTTCACCGTGGCAAAGAACTAAGAATATTGGATTCTATTACGTATTTGTGTGTTTGTAAGAGTGGAATGGTATGAGTGGTCATTGTTTTTTTACTATTTCACAATCCATTTATAAAAAATAATGATAATCCGATCTATTTTAATACATAATTCCATATCACGAAATTCATCAATGAAATTTAATCCATATTGTTTGATATATGCATATTTTTATGTACTGCATTGTTACTAAATGAAATATTTGTTTTGTTTTTTTATTACCTAATAAATGATTATACATAAGACTTATTTTAAATAACACCATATTATGTTAATCAAAGTACAAAAAGTGATCCATATTGTCTCTCTCAAATACATTTTCAAAATCTATACGTCATCTATAATTTCGTTTTTTTTCTAAATTTTAACTAATTAGTTTTTCTCATATTTGAAGAGCATTTGTTGATGGAAAATAGTCATTAAAAGTTTACTTTAACGTTGTATGAAAGTGTTCACTCGAAGTTAGTAGCAGTATCTAATTTATATAAGTTAAATTATTCTTTCGAATCACAATTATCTTTGATAGTAATTATTATGAATTTGAAATAATCAAGAATATTCTCGGCTCAGTTGGTTACTTTTGGTGATTTTTAGTTTTCTGGACTACCAGGACTCAGTAGCTAAGTGGACAACGCAATAGCGTTTGAAGCGAACGGTACTCTGTCCGAGTCCCGAAGTGAAAATCAGCTCTGGGATGTAGGTACATCCAGTTGAAAAGTCCAAAATAGGACGAAACCTGCATTCTGAATCCCATTGCTAGCCACCATGCATCTTTGCGCACAAGTTACTTACAAATAAACTTTATGTCAAACATTTTCATCCTACTATATAATTTTATCTCTCCGAAAACTAATCAATATTATGATGTGCTAAAAAACTTCAAACCATTTTTTTATCTGACTTGTAAAAAAAGGTTTTAGAGTTTCTATTTTCTTGTCAAATTCTTACTTTTCTTCACTGAAAATCGGTAAATCATGTAATGGCCTCGTTGTCTGTTTAAATTTGTAAGTTGCTGATTTGTTTTTTTTAGAAGGCTATAAATGAACTCTGCATACTAAACAGTTATATCTTCCTTTGACTTTTGTATAAGACAAAATCCCTATCGCAATCAAATCGTCTTTCCTTTTCTCATATATTTTAGGTTTTCTAGCAAATACAATTAAACCATGTTGATTGTATAACAGTGAGATCGATTAGACGCCCATAATTCGTAGTATCTAAGTGTTTACTTAACGGAGCGTAACTCCTCAAACCACAAACTATTTTGGCATTGACTATAAAGGATTGAAATTATCCTGTTTTTGATATTCTTAGTTGAATTATGACCAGTCTTTATTGATAGATGAGCATCCATTCATCCTATAAATGTTTTTGACAAAATGGTTATATCAATGCACTCTGCACAGAATGAGTCAAAATGTTAATTACTCAATAATTAAAATCCTTTCTAATAACTATAAATTTCATACCTGTTGTAGAAGTGAGTGGCTATCTGGACTCAATAACTCAGGGGATGATGCGTTCATCTTTTAGAGAAATAGACACTGTGTGCAAATCCATGCGTTGATGTCTACGATAAAATGCAATTATATGTGGCTATGAAGTCCCAACTAGGGCGTAATGAGCGTCCTGGCTTTCTCTATTGTCCATAACCCATCAGTTCTATGGAAATCTATTACTAATCGTTTATATTTCTTAATCTTCATTTAATTAACTTTAGTATCATACCGTACCTTATTGTGTGGTGGTGATGATAATTAATCAATCTCCTATTACTCACTTTTTGGCTTGTCGAAATCTGTAAAAAAAAATTAAGAACCAAATTACACTAGACAAACATATTTTTGTTCGTTAATCATCTCTGCTCACCCTAGATCCCTGTAATACATCATATGTATTCATTTTCGTGGAATACGGAATGGAGTTTTTTTTATCAAATATTAAATGTTTTTAAACTCATTCCGCCTGTCCAGATAACTGGTACAACGGTGGCTGTTTACATAATGAAAATATGTAAATCGGTAATATTCTTGCATTGTATACCTTAGATTCTTATAACTTCAATAGATGGATAATCAAATATGTCTGAAAATACTTTAAAAGTGTAAATAGAATTCACAATATGGACAGTTGTTGAGTGAATAATGTCCTCCAATTTCAATGTTCTCTCAAATATTTTGGTCACCTGTTTTTTTAATGTATACAAATATTGCAATTGGCCTACCCAGTCTTAACTACTATAAATTAAGTTACTACGAATGCCAATTGTATTAAATCATCTACAATAAATTATTGTGATATTAAATACTAGAATACAGTTCTAGGCACATTTCCCTTTTTATCTAAGCTTTGAAAAGAAGATTGAAAGATAAATGTATTGGGATTCAAACACCTTAAATTAGTTATAGCAGCTGAACTGGTAGAAAATTTTAATGATTTAATACATGACATTGACTGTTAAAAACATTTTAAAAGTATTTTTTTTGAATAATTACAATTTTAATTTATGCTAAAAAGATATTTATTTCAGTATTGCATAATGATTTTTGAGAATTCTTTGTTGTGACATAATTTAGATTATGGAACTAAGTTATTTTTCGATTATTATTATTATTATTATTATTATTATTATTATTATTATTATTATTATTATTACAGATTGTTTTCATTTCATGTTTAAATGATTTGTGTCCATTAACTGATAATTTTTTGACCTAAATTTTTGTCTAATCTTTCATTTCATGCCAACATGTTTGTTGTAATCGATAAAAGAAACAAAAACATGATTTTCAATAAAATTGAAGTAATATATGAAACATGTTTAAAGTATCATCGATTTACTAAAGTTGTTGCAGAGGGATCATGTATCATTTCATGTGGAATCGCCATATAATGAGCAAAATGTAGGCCTGACATTCAGATCTTCATTGATTAAGGAGTGAGTGGCCTACAAACTGAATTCAATTACTTATGACATTGTATCATAATGATATTTTGTATATAAGTGCGCCATTTGATTACAGAAAATGCATATTCTCCAAGTTAGTGGTCTTGTTCTTGATTTTAAACTATCCAAAGACTTAAGTCAAGTATTCTATCTACAACAGCCATCATTCGGCATGTTCTTCTTGTGTTTACTTTTAATTGCTGTTGCAAAATATTTGACTCGTCACAGTAGTAATATATCATAGTTAAACATAATTGTTTTCCAAATGGTACGTAGTAACATCTTTCCTCTTGTTTTTTAAATTACTATTTATGCGTTACATAACTCTCTTTGTTTCCTTTTTGATGAAACAGGGAATATCAATCTTTTCCGAGCAATAATGTGTGCAGCATTATATCCAAATATTGTAAAAGTGGATCCAAGATTTACGTAAGTTTTACTATTATTCTCAGTATTATTCGTCAGTCCTCTTAATATAGTTGTCAGTTTCATTTGAATAGAATAGTCAACAGTTAAATTCATTCGAACTACAATTAACATTTAATGAAAAGAAATCCTTAATCCAATACCATTGTTTCCTACTTTACTTTATACATTCATCATTAGTCTTCAAGTTAATCCAAAGTAATAATTATCTGAAATTTTCAACTAATTGACGTACTGAATTCTTTTTAAATTTATCTTTTTGTTCGTTAATTAGAGTGTAAAATAATTTTCTTTTGCATAGTTTAATTCTTAGTAAAAAATAATAGAAAGTAGTATTCAGTTGTTTGTAACTATGATCTATATCTTTAAGTTGTGTAAGATTAATTGACTTGTACACTTGTTTATCGACTTATTTTTAAGATTATATTGTATAATAAATGACCAGTATTATGACACTGAGTAATATTTAATCAAACAACTTTCAACTATTGTATCACAAGGTTAAATCTTTCTATCTATCGGGACTTCCAGACTCACTTTTGTATCTAATCATTCTTTCATTGTTGTCTTTGTTGACTATATCATACATTTTTCTTAAACTTTAATGGTTTTCTGAACAGTAGTTTAAATTAATCAATAGTTTTTGTAATAAAATTATAATCCTATAAATATTAATTTATTTCGTCCTTTTGTTATGTACTTCTTCGACATATCCAACTTTCCGTTTACTGTTAAGAAACGTCCTGTTAATCTCCAAACTCATAGATTAGTTATTCAAGTAGTAACGGAGCCCTTTAATCTTAGAAATATAATGTTATTGATCTGTGTTTTATTTACTATCCTGGCGAATGTCTTTTCTGCATGTACTACCAAAAATAATCTCAGTAAATTTGTGTTTCAGTTAATACACAATTGGTATTTGTGAGTTTCGGTTGAAAGTTCTAGATAAATAAGATGAATTAATCAATTATCGGAATTCGTAGAATTGTCGCCTTGATACACAGTTTCAGTAGGAATAGCGGAGCGTGGAAACAGTACAATGAATTCACTATTTGTTGATAAACTATTCAATGATTAACTAGTGTTTTGATGTGTAACTTATTCTTCAGCTTCCCTAACATTGAAGTCAGTCAGTCAACTACAACGTAGGACCAGGCACATTGAAAGTTGACAATAGAAGATTTTGCACCTTATCTTAATTTATATCCAAATTTTATCATACTCAACACTTTAAACAAGTTTACTTAATCTTTCCAATTGTCTTTTTGATAAATTTATTCCTTCTGTTTTTTTTATCGCATTTTTTTAAAACTAGAGACATGGTTTGCACAATATCTCGTTACGTTGTTATTGTTGTACTACTTTTTAGATATTCGACATTTAATGTTTACTTCCATTCCATAATTAATTAGAAATGTATAAAATAATTATGTCTACAATTCAATGTCTTTTTCATTATTGAAATGTTTTTTAATCGTCGTACGTTATAGACTTACTTTTTATATATAGGTTGTATTAATATTTTTATTTATTTGTAATAATTTAGTAAAGAAGGCAAACCTAAAGTACCAGTTATTATGGCTTGTCCATCTGAGGGTAGAGCAAATATTCATCCATCGTCAGTAAATAATAAAATTCAACCAACTGAGCCTATATGGATGGTTTATTTTACAAAAACTAAGCTTGAATCAGGATCTGTAAGTTTAACCTTTTCTTTAAAACAAAACTACGTGATTTAATTAGTTATACTGACTGATACTTTTCTCTGCAATCATACCATATACATGATTCAAGCTATACAATCAGATATCATTTTGACAACTATTTCGTAATTTTTATAATCGATAACATTATATAATTATTATTGTGGATGGTAAATTGTAGGCTACCTTTCATCTTTTTAAAAATATCCTTTCGGAAAGCAGTAATTCATAGATTACTAAATGAATATATTTTTTGTTATCGCATATGCTATTTCAATTTGCATTAGTAATGTCTTAAGCTGAAATCATCTCATAACAATTATTATAATATATAATACTTACATTTAAGTCACTGACATTTTCAGCGTCATTTGACCTGTGACGTAATCTGTTTGACTTGGTGACTAAAATACTTGACTTTTAGTCATTGTTTTATAAACTTAACGTACTTTTGTTTTAATTCGCTTTTGGTAATCTGAAAGTGTCACAAACCCTCACAACTAAATTTTGATTCAAGAATCCATAGATGAGTTTGTACTTAGTTACTGATTTGTATGAATTTAAAATTAAAGCGTCAAGAATCAACGGATTAAGATCATTACATTTAGTGTATATAAGCTGTTTCCGTAAAGTTTCTAAAAAGTTCTTTTCCCAATCAGTCTATGATAAATCGGGAGAGATTAATGAGCAGTAAAATTTTATTTGACTCGTTTCTTGTAGAAAGGTTAGTATTTGACTTTACATGAGTTAAACTTAATTATTTGAATGGGTTTTACCTGCTGGAAACAGTGAGTTTTTAAATACTCTTATTTTCAATGACCACACAATATATTTTGATATTTCGTAGTACTGCAGTGCTGTATAAAGCATGTGTCTTAATTATTTTGTCTAGTTTATAATCTGTTTTTGAAACGTGATACCTAGAAAATTGTCTTAACAACTCCAATAGGCAGAACCTTATTAGTTTCTGTCACTTTTGCTACACATGTAAGCGTTTCGGTAAGAACAATTAAATGCTAACCTTTAAATTCAGTTTCATAAGGATGATCATTCTGTCTGTTACACCGAAAATTAACCCAATTCAACAATCACATACTAGGTTGTGAATCGCATCTGATTTACGAAGGCTTATGAAATATGTTTGAATTTATCATCCATTGCCTGATAACTCCGAGTTCTAACTAGTTACTACATATTATTTCATGTAGTAATTTTCAAAAAATACAATCACGATGTATTTTGGATATCCCAATGAGCACAAATTAGAATTCCTAACCTTTCGCGACTGCTTCAGAGAGTGGGCAAATAAATAACTGCACTAAATTAGCACACTTTTGAGTCATCTAGCCTAAAAAATGAAACTTCATCCACCTGAGCCACAAACCTTTTCCACCCCAAATCAGCACAAAAGAATTTTCATGGCTCTAAATCTATTTAGAAGAGCTACCAAGATCATTAACTCAGAAGGTAAATTAATGGGACAAAATACCATACTAAACATCTTACGATTTAACGATTTTCCTAAGAATCCTATTAAAAACGTATGAAAATAAACGATTTATCTTTAAATAACAATGCAAATGAAATATCATGTGTTGGTACGTTAGTTTTACCCTACCACCATGGTACGACGGAAGAATTTCAATGTATCGTCCATAAAACAACTAACACTTTTCGAAATCCTATGATTCAAATAAAGGAAGAGATCTCTTTTACTTTACACAAAACTGCGTCTACAAATTGTATCGACTGTGATGTTTTATATATTAGGAAGTATTCTCTTGAAATCCTGACTCCAGCCAAAAAACATCTAAGCTAACTAAAAATACTTAGTTATCGTGTACAATTTGATAAGCTTCGAATAAAATCAGCAATAGCAGTGGTTGTCATCTTCAGTGACCATAAAATAAATACAAAAGACACCGAAATAATTCAAAAAAGCTTTTCCAACGATATAGGTAGGTGAGTAGCTCTTGATGGAAAAAGGACGTGATGATCATCCAACTTGGACTGTTTGTCCAAACAACTACACTTAATTTTATTAATTTCTGACTCTTTTAATACACACATACATACACAAATTTCACATTGTTCACACCCACCAGCGTATACACAAATATACACTGTAATGTCCCTCACACACCTCGACCGGATAACAAAACATCGATATAATCAAACCTATTTTATTTTGATTATATTTGACATTCTATCCTGGTTCCGTTTACTATTTAAACCTGTATTAATTTAATTCAGTTATTGATTTACTTTCTCGAGAAACGACTTAAACTAAATAGTTGTGAGACGTTAGAAATTCTTATTTCTACTCATTAGGATACCACGTATAAATCATGATTTTTATTAATAACATTCTATCAAATGCTCAATTTATTTAAAATTATGAAGTCAAATTTTGGTGTTAAAAAGGTCGTATAAAATGGAAATGAAATAATTATGTTAATTAACTAGAAGCCAACTTGTTATGCTCAAATAACTGATTATGATTAAACTACTATTGTGATCCTAATTTAAACGTAGCTTTTTAGTTAATAGATATTGTCACGTACACAAGTTTATACGTATAACTTTCATTTTATTGCTACTGTGTAATAGACTATTTTTGCTTCATTATCTTAATCTTATTTCCTTTGCAGTTAGCTATGAGGTTTAAATCCCTAAACAATTTTTAATACTATATAAAATTAAGTTATTTATGCAAAACATTCTAACTATTATTTGTTGAATTTTATTAAAGTTTGTATCTAAATTGACCGCCACCAGATAAACATAGTAGACAAACCCAACTATCATATTGTAATGAACGAGAACAATGGCGCGGACAACCAAACGTATTTCAACACAACATTACAGAATATCGTGGTAAAATCTGAGAACCATACAGTAATATTTCATTTGCAAAATATCCATCAGTTTTCTCAGACTTTGTTGTTCCTTCGTTTCCATACCACTCACTCTCTGTTCTCGTTTCCTCTTCAATTTTCTCAACCTCCTACCGCCGTGCATTCCACTTTCGATTGTTGACATATACTACTTATATCTGTCGACGTCAGTAGCACACACCACAACATAACTTTACTATGCACGACATTGCTTGGTTTTTGTCGACTATAATCAGAGTAATGAAATAAGCAAAGCGATTTCCGGTGAAAAAAAGTGTAGTAGGAAATGTAAACAGTGATTGAGGAGGTTCTATATGTTTATAGTTTGATCGGAACTACTGACAAACTGGGACTAATGTTGTCCAAGACATCAGTTGTCTTATGTCTAATAATACCTATTACACACTTCTTTGAGTAAACTTCCAAATACTTAACACCAGAAATTGTACTTTTTAGCACTTGATTCTTGCTCGCTGTTTTAATCACTAAATAATTGAATGTTCTCCTAGGGGCTAGAAACAAGTTTATTTAAAACAGTTCAATAATATATCTAGATCTCATACTTCAAATAACATCCAAAACCTATTTTATTTCATTTGTATTTTTCCATTACTTACCAACTAGAAGAAGTTATTTATATATTTCTTCAAGAATGAGAAAATGATGCTTGCATGTCTAAAATTAACTTTTCCATTCCATCATAAATTTCATTTAGTCAGGTTCTAAAGTAGTCTAATCTTCATTATATATTTAGGTCAATTAATTTAGGGCGTGACCGATGCTGAAATCATGTATACTTTTGTTTCATTATATTACGGATATGTAATCAATTTATGCAAGATGTTAAATCCAGTATTAAGAATTTTTCAACGAAACCATCTTCGTTTTCATGTGAGCATCGTATCTAATTGGTTATTAACTACAAAACTTGGCACTTCATCTCATTTAATATTTTATGCTTTAGCTTACAGTGGTTCTTTTCATATTTATTCAATCTCATTACATTTATTCGGATCGCTATTCCACCATAATGATGTGTATCTAATTTTACTGCCATAAATATGTAAACTTTACAACAATTTTGATTTTGGATTATTGTAAGTTGTAATCAGCTGATGTGAACCTAACGGGATAAAATGAATTCATGTTATTCTACTCAATTCATTGTTTTTTCTCTCTTCAATGAAATTTAAATGAACATTGTAATGAAGAAGAGACACTTCTACCATTTCACATGTCATTAGACAGTTAAACACTAATCAAACTTAAAACAATCCACAAAAATACATCCGTTTTATCCTTATCAGCACTATTTTGATTTATTTTGAACTGTGTAATCTAGAGGTTAAAACTATTGAGTTTTTTGTAAGCAAAACTCATACCTTAGTATTCAGTGATTCTCAATTACCACTTCATACTTGATTGTATTTAAATTTCTACTTACTTCTTCTTTACGGTAAATGGTGGCTTGGTGATATATACAACACTATTGTGTGTACGTTCTGAGTAAATGATGATTTTCATACAGCATTAATTTCCATACTCTATGACAGAAAAATAGATCAGATTGCAATTAATGTCATCACTAATATTGTTTGCCTAGAATATAATCAAATGATTTTTCTTTGAATTAATTAATCTATAGTCATCACCCTATCATCCCAACTAAACTTAGATATAAAAATCTCTGAGCATTTTTGAATTATTGCTTTTCTCTGTAACGATGATAATAATAATAAATAATAGAAAATAAAGTAATAACTACTTTTAATCTTTTGATTTTATTGATTTGTTTTCTAGTATCCATCCATATTCGACTCAACTGTCATATCACTGAGACCTTTGTTATTTTTCAGCGGTAATATAGAAGTATCAAAGGTTAGTGCTTTATATACTGTTAAGCATACCATTACTATCATTATTTGAGGTGAACTAATTATTTATTTCTTAATTATAACTATGAAAAATCTCAATTTTCCAGCATAATACATTACTTTTAAATTACAACAGAAATTCTGTTATATTTTTCTTTGTAAATAACAGATTGTTAGATTATGTAGAAGCTGAAAATGTGTAATGATGAATTTTTAAAGTAGTTTTACCTAAACTATACTAAATTCAGAAGATAAAATTAATAACGCTTAAATTAGACGATTTGCAAAAGATTATTTGAAATCACAATTTAATAGTCTACAAATGTTTCTTTCTTGTTTTGTTTCGCATTTATTCATAAATATCAACCTTTTATTAAAAATTACTAATAATTATTGCCAGTTTTATATGTCAGGCTTTAGTTGAAAAATCAAATCTTTAAGACTAAGATTCGTGGTATGTTAATCAATATGTTGTTGTAAATAATCCTTAGAATATCTCAAGAGTTTTTAAAAGTCTACAAATTGAAACTTTTCACAATGACTTACAATATTCAAATAACGTGCTACACACAGAACATTCCCATTTTATAGTTCCATTGTCCTCGAATTATGTCCGTTATGGGTAACACTAAGATACGCAAAACGTGGTGTGTTGGAAATTGGCTCCATTTGTCCAAACACTATCCTATTCAAGTATGAATCAGCTATATATCTTTCTTACTCCCGAATACTGTTATAAACGTTGCAGAATAATCTGTGTTGTTTTTGGCTTTTGCTCAACAGAAATCGAACCTGTCCTCAAGACAGTTATACATTTTATAGCTTGCTGTAATCAAGAAATTCAATATAAAACATATGAAACAGAGTATTGATCTGCTTATGTACCTGGTTGAACTGTTTAATTTAGCTTTGATTGTTTGACTGACGTTTATGTACTACTGACCGAGTTATGGGGTCCAACTGTTAACCACCAGTTGCTTCGACTGTCGAGAGTTCTCTATAACTAGTTCGGTACTCTACTAAGTAAACTTCATAATGATAGCGTCCGAGTCAGGCTTTTAGGTTCGGATTTAAATCAGATTAATGACTGATTTTATCAATTAACAAAGCATACAAATAACATATATTTTGTATCTCATATTGTTTTAAGGGATTTTGTATTCGTATTTCTCTCATATTTGTGTTAAACATCTCAAAATAGTTAATGGATCTTTTCACAGTTCATTTATTCTGTATGCTTTGTGACTAATAGATTGCAGTTATCATACTTTAGAAGCACTTCTACAATACTTTACTGTTAATGAAAATAAAATAATAAATACATTTTCTTCTTTGGCGCAAGTGATGATTATTTCAGTTATGATGTATGGTACTCGTCCATACAAGAAAGTACTTATAAAGATTTCGTTGCCGGTTTACTGGAATAGAAATCTAAATCTTTACTTGGCATGATACTTTTTAAATGATGAATTATTTTATATTACTCGATCAAAAAATATGGACAAGAATAACTGAATGTAAGCTCTATGATTCTTGATAAAAAAGAAAAGTCATATCTCCTCAGAACCTTATCATTCAAATAACAACACGGATGTTTGGTCGTAGCATTGAGTAATGCAATTTTAGATCTATCCTTGTTTTGAGTTATAAATATTCTTTGCTAATGAATTCTAGCATGTACTGTGACCAAGTCTGAATATTTCTATCAGATACCGCCAACGATTCAGTATCAAATGCAATATCGGGTTATTTAGCTTACTAACAACATTTTAAAGTTTACTGGTGAAACAGCACTAAGTAGGCATAGTCTGTTATACGAATAATCACTTTTTAGTGTCAGAGCCTATTATTTTTCCTTGTTTGACAATGCATAAAATTATTTTATGTAGTATGCGTCAGCAAAAGGTAATAAAATGTTCCTCTACTTTTATAGAATGATACAAGTCTTTTCACCATTGATCAATGGATTAAATTCAGCGGGGAGTTAAAAGTAGTCAATTTATTGAAAGTTAGTTGCAAAGTGATTAAATCTATCCTTTCCTATTGACTGATTTTTTAATTAATGTGTATTTACATACATTAATTTTACATATAAACCCTCGAGTTCATGTAAAGTAAGGTTCACTGTTACGTAAAGTTACACTTTACTGTGTCAACAGTGATCCAATCACTCTTGAGCGCAACACAATATATCATTTCATACTTTTCGGTGACTGATTAATTTGATAAATCATACCTTCTAGGAACCTATTATTTCTCAGGTCTTTTGAATAAATACTAATGCCATTTCTATGCTTGGTGTTTGATTAATATCCTTGGATATTTTTCAAAACTAGCGTTGTGGCTAAAACAGAATACAAAAACAACTATGGTTGCAATAATAATTCATGTACTCTGTCATACACCCACAATGCACTGTCAGCAAGTAAAAGTGTAAACTTTCCAATTTCATCTGGAAATCAGGCTATTTTATCTTCATAGAAATGAATTCATACTAGGAAATGATAAAAGCACTGTAGCATAATTTCTGACTACGGTTCAACTTGTCATTTTGTAGGGAGTAAGTTTTTGTAATACGTATGGTGTTACCGTACGGGAGACAGCTCAGTGATGACGTCCCAAACTGTGAAGCTGAGTAACGCGGGTTCAAATCCCCCGAAGCACATCATTTTCCCATCAATTACTGGGGTACGTTGCTGATAAATACTAATCAACAAGAAACCTACATCCAGAGTTGCTTGCTGCCGATCCTCAACCATACAAAAGGATTTTCTAGTATAACATTTTTAATTAATGACTACCTAATGAAGAAATGCTTTAAAATGAATGAGATGAAATATTTTTTTTAAATGCAGTAGAAGAATATAGATCACACATTTTTTAATGAAATATCATTGTTATTGTATTCTAGTATACTTATATATGAAAAAGTTTATTGATAATTGTACTATATAGCATAGTGAGAAGAAAAATTATCGGTATTTCCTAAGAGTCCTGTCTGGAAAATATTGAACTTTGTTTCTGAAATACGCTTTCCGTTTATTTATCCTGAAAAGAAGTCTGAAGATTTAACTAAATATCCAATATGTTTTGATATCTGTAAAGTAGTATCTATTCTTTAATCAAAATAATAATGCTCACTAGCGATTAATTTCAAGAAGTTTTAATGAAAAGTTGTGTCTGGGCAATTTAAATCTTGTTGGGAGTGAGATAGATATCGCCATTAGTACTCCCAGTAAACATAAGCGTTTGACTGAAAACGTAAGAAAATAAATTTAAGTTGCCTTACATAACTTTGTCAAAGTCCATGGATCAAACACTAGACTACACTGGTTGAAATCAGTTTAGGAGCATGTGTTTTCTCATGATGTAAATATACTTTGAGCTTTAAAAATCTCGATTCGCTGATGTGATTATTCCTTTTTTAATGAATTTCTACCCTCTTAGTTTTCTAGTTTTAAAACCACATTCCAAGTCGATTTTTATCGGTGCTTCATATACTGCGTGCATTGGCACAAAGTTAGGTCTACCTACCTACCTTAGCTACTGACCATAGTTGTGATTCCTATCCTTTTTGGATGTTCTATTATAATATTAATATGTATGACATTTTTTACAACTGTAGATCGAAGCAAAATATCTCTAGAGTTAGAAGTCGCTGAAGTAATCGGTTTTCATGATCCAGTCATATTTTTATTAACAGAATATTACCTACTGTTTTTTTTGACATATCGACGACCAAAACTCTCTATTGAGATTCGTTTTCACATATATCAACCAATGCTGTACCAAATTAATGTCAACATTCCTAATCAGTCAACTTCGTGTTGGTTGAAGTCTTTCGGTCGGATTCCTGAATGGTTCAGCAACTAGTACATATTTTTTGGTGTTGCGTTGTTTGGAATCAAGGAAACATGTTCTGTTTTCTTAGCAAACATTGAACAACATAAACGCACTAAAGAGAATGAAGACTTTTCAGCAAAGGAAAGTTTCTTTATGGCAATATCATTCCCTTAGACTGTGTAATTGTATTTATAGGTAATTGGTTACATTTAGTAGCCTGTAGTAAAACATAAGAGTTATGAAATTATCCATAGTCAAATTTACTCAACTATCGAATGTAAAAGTCTACAAAACCGATGTGGTTTTACATCACTTAATAAAATCAAAGATTATCAAACCATTTCAAGCATCGAATGTGATAATCTATAAGTTGATGTTATTTCAAAGTAATTAAAGTCATCAAAAGTTTGCAAGTATTGATAAACAAACACATATAACCTCACAATATTATTTCAGTTCCTAATGGATACTCCCTCTTATAGGAAGCAGATGACAATTCTTTATCAATTATTTTTTAGTCGCATTTTTTATATGCATTCATTTCGAAATTTCTTTTAGGATTTACGGAAATGCATGGATGGACTGTTGGAACAGAAGTTTAAAAGTCCTAGCGTGGTTAACTGGGATAGAACAAATAAGGAAGGACGACTCCTTCAAACTATTGTGGATCTATTAACAAGTGAACCCCCGCCAGCTGTTCAAGTTGAGAAATTAAACTTAAAAACATTCTCCCTAGGCATCCATAAATAGTTATTCGCACCACTGATAACCCTGTAGATATATGTTTTAACAATTCTGTTTGATAATGACTTAAAATAAATCTTGTCTATCAAGAAAAGTAACTTTTCGATCCGTTAATTTGTGCATTGTGGGTTCGATTACTTAACATTGAACAGGCTTATGTATTTTTGCACAGAGAACTAATATTGATACCCTATGTCCAGAAAACTTCCAAAATCAAACAAGTTATCATCGCGTGCAAGAGAAAAGTTGTTTATTTATGACCCGTGTAAATTCTTCTACAGTCGTAAATCCAAAAATCTACCACATGAATCAAATCACTGTATGTTAAGAAGCGGAAAGGAAAGGGTTCTTATAGTCAGTAAGTAAATGAACAAGAGTAGCATCCATTAACACAGTATTCAGTTAAAAAAAATTCGCTCAAGAAATATTTTACTAGAATAGTAAACTTTCAAGTTTCATACTAATCGTCTTCTATCTTCAGTGTTGTGGTGATACGAATGGTATCTGTGTTTGTTAGCCCAATGTGTTGAAAGTGATCATAGGTGTAAAGTCGGTCTGATAATCTGCCATTCCCAGAATACACATACGTCTTCGGGTAAATCAATGGCCTGAAATATCGTCGCATACATGAGGCTCTGTCATATTGTGACGACCCTAACCTATCTGATAATCTAGAACAACATATATAAGCGAACAATATTGTTTTCGATTAGATCCTCATCAGGCTTTACTCTAATATACAGTAATATTTATATGCATATACGAAATTATTAAACCAATCAAGGTAGTTTATAAGTCAATGATAACAATGAAAACTATTACATAATAAGTGAAACGTGAAAAGTACAAATTAATGGTGTGACAACAGGTGCATTAGTTTTGATAAGAATAATAAAGGCTCAAATCAATGTTACATAATCGGAAATAGGTCAATGATTAGAAAAATATAGACAGTGAGATAACAATAATAAGATGACGTAATAAGAAATTTTCAGATAATTGGACCATGAAACGTATAGTTGAAAGAAAATAAAGTGGTAGGAGGGGGTGAAGAAAAATAACAGACGAAGAGAAAGTTGGAAAAAGAATAAATAAATTCACTAACAAGGGCTAGACAATGAGATTAGATGGTGGTTGGAGGTAGTCAACAGAAAACCCTGGACCCGGGTTTCGTTCTACTTGGCACTCGTCAGCAAGGTGTACCTGTAATCTTGAGGGAACTGGTGCTCCCTGGCGGACTCGACCTCGTGTCACCCAGCTTCACAGTCAGAGACGTTACCACTGAGCTATCCGAGCCGTGACTAACCTCCTATAGGACTGAGATGTAATCACAATTGATTGATCACTGGGTGGTGATCAATCTCATGCTTCCAGCTTCACAGTCAGAGACGTTACCACTGAGCTATCCGACTGAGGACTAGACACTCACGACATTGATCGCCACCCAGTGATCAATCAATTGTGATTACATCTCAGTCCTATAGGAGGTTAGTCACGGCTCGGATAGCTCAGTGGTAACGTCTCTGACTGTGAAGCTGGGTGACACGAGGTCGAGTCCGCCAGGGAGCACCAGTTCCCTCAAGATTACAGGTACACCTTGCTGACGAGTGCCAAGTAGAACGAAACCCGGGTCCAGGGTTTCCTGTTGACTACCTCCAACTACCATCTAAATAAGTTCACTTATTATCAGAAGGGGTTTGTGGAGATTTTAGAAATTTTCATAGATTGAAATCATGAATCAGTTGAAGCTAGACCACCATGGAAAACCTGGGAGCCCTGGACGGCGGTTTCGTCCTAGTATGGGACTCCCAAGCAGTGCGCATCCACGATCCCACACCCCACGGGATTCGAACCCAGGACCTACTGGCTTCGCGCGCGAGCACTTAACGATTAGGCCACTGAGCCGGTATCCAGTGGTGTTAATGTCTAACTTCAACCAATCCACGAAGTTGCGCCACCATATACCATTGTCTTCAGTGAGCTGATATCTCACAACAGACCTGGTTGAACTCCACTGGTAACGGCTTCCCACAAGAACTCCAAGAGTATCTCTTGAAGTCAGTCACTAGTGAGCAGATGATTATTATCAGAAGGGGTCTAATGGTTAAGTGCTCGCGTGCGAAGCTAGTAGGTCCTGGGTTCGAATCCCGTTGGGTGCGGGACCGTGGATGCGCCCTGCTGAGGAGTCCCCTACTAGGACGAAACGGCCGTCCAGCGCTTCCAGGTTTTCCATGGTGGTCTAGCTTCAACTGACTCATGATTTCAATCTGTGAATAATTCATTTATTACTTAAGGCCAAGGGAGAGATAAGGGTGTTACAAATTTCTTCTGAACCCAAAGACTTGGCTTGTTGGCTCGGATTCCTATAGCTTCTGCTATGTGTAAGAGATGAGATCGAACACCATAAGGAAAACTAGTGGGAATACGATAAATAACTTTGAACGACTTGTTTCTGTCAACTATATGACCGCTATCGATCAAGTGTGATAGAACCGAGCTGCGTATTGTTTTGACGTAACCTTTTTCTAACCACGAAGGGAGGTGTTCACCAACTCGTTGGTTCAGTTGCCTGGTAGTGCGCCCAATATAGCTTTCTCCACAGGAACAGCTGAATTCGTATGCAGAGGTTGGCAGCATTAACCGTTCTCTTTACTGCTCTAGTCAATCTATCCCGTAATACATCGCTAGCTAAATCAGTGGATATCCACTGGGTTTCCTGAAGAAACACTTACAGGTACAAAACAAGAAAATAGTGACTCTGACGGCTAATAAGAAACCGCTTTTCTTGAAGCTGCAATTCAATGGTTATTTAGCTAGCGATGTATTACGGGATAGATTGACTAGAGCAGTAAAGAGAACGGTTAATGCTTCCAACCTCTGCCTATCGTATTCCACCCGATCGATGGTGATTCCGCAATTGAAGGATAAGTTACCTGGTTATGCCACTTCTATGTGTATCTACGAATTCAGCTGTTCCTGTGGAGAAAGCTATATTGGGCGCACTGCCAGGTAACTGAACGAACTAGTAGCACTAAACAACAATGCCAGGATGTTTGCGATGCACTTCTCCCCCTCTAAATGCAAGCTGTTGCTCCAGGACTGGCCTGCGTTAACACCTGAACTAAGGATTGACAACTTCACTTATCTTGGAAGTCTAATCAGCCCAAATGGGTTGGTGTCTGACGAAATATCAGCACAGATTCGAAAAGCCAATCTGGCTTTTGTCGACTTACGTCACCTATTGCGAGGGCCAGATATCCGTCTATCAATTAAGAGGCGAGTATACTGCGCGGAAGTCCGTTCTGTTTTTACGGCTGCGAAACGTGGCCATTAAGAGTTGAAGATATTCACAAGCTACTAGTATTTGACCACAGATGCCTTATAAATATTGCTGGGATCACCGAGTAAGTGTTAGTGAAGTTAGACGCAGGGTACTAGGGAATGATGGTAAATCAGTTGATGAGGTTGTGAATCTTCATCGACTGAAATGGGTGGACCACCTGTTGCGTATGCCTGAATACCGATTACCACGACACGCTGTAAGAAAATTAAGAGCGGCCAAACCAAAGCGTATCATCAGTGCTTGAAGTCACTAACTTCTAGTCTGAACCATGTTGGTAGATGCAGATCACTTGGTTGGGGTCTGAGTGACTGTCGTAACCAATGGTTGGAGACGGTGGGTGACATTGGCTCAGAATCGATCACAATGGCGTCGGTGTATACACTCTTTGTCTTCCCTTAAATTAAATTAAATTCGCTTCATATCTTTCTTTCTACATACTAATTCTTTCTTCCTGTACTATATCCTTATATGCAATCTTTCTTTTTATGTATTACTATCATTGAAGTAACTAATTCTATGAATCTGGTGTTCATCTTGTTGTGCTAATGAAGTGTCGCAACTTGGACCGATGCTTATATGTGCCTCGTTCTACGTTGTAGCTGACTGACTGAGTTATGTGCGTCGGCTCAAATTGTCACACCATATTAGTGTATTGAAATAAAGATATCAAGCCGAATCTCAGAGTAGTAGAAAAGGTTAAGTGAAGAAATAAGTCGTAAGATTTTGGGATTCAGGGACTTGGAGAAAATAAATAGTGAGTACATCTGTCATATTTTGTGAATTTTAATTCTACCCATTGATTGCGCGGACCCCAAGTAGGCAATCTGCACGTACCTAAGTGGTTCATGCCAATAGTCAATGACTTCATGAGCTGATGAACGTTGAGGTTTTGCCCCCTTCGCTTCCGTCCAACCTATTTATACACCATCATGACCCGTCAACGTAGGCGGTGGCTGGGCTGACGTAACACAAGTTTCAACCACCTCGTTTGATAAAGATTTACTACCTCAACAACCGACTACCCACCTTTACCAAATACTCTGCGTCCAACCTGAGCAGCTCTTATTCGGTAGTCCCAAAATGCATGGGCAATGATTCAAAGACATCTATGGTGGAATACTAGTAACCTAGGTATGTCTACTCTTAGTGGCCATGCTTCACGCTCATAAAGTAGAACGGACTATCTTAAACTACCTGCTTGAGTGTTTAATCTTGTCACGATTGGTACTTCTGGACGTTCGGCGTTCTATAGTAGAGAAGAAATCTTCCTGTAAAACGTGTCCTTAACTTCACTCGAACTGCAGTCATTGAGAGCGCGGGCAGATACGACAATGAGACAACGGCGTGTGTCCCTATTTCTCCATGTTCTTACTTTCCTGTTTAATCTTTCATCTTCAGAGGCTATGTTTCACAGCCACAAGATGGAACAGAACGAACTGCTAAACAGTACACTCATCCTGAGATTGGCAGACAGAAATCTCGCCTACGCTATTGGTGGCACCAACACTTAGGTTATTCAATCGCAAATCAGCACATTAAGTAATACTTCTCAGCAACTTAACTGATTAGCCTCCTTTACAATGTAAATGTATGAATACGATCAGTTTAAATACATGATTAGATAAACCCCAATGCTGACAAGAAATTTAATGCAAAGTTGATAAATGGTTCACTTACATGATAGGCTCCTAGCATATTCTTTAGTTGGTCGCAAACTTTACAGCTGACTATATGTTTAGTTAAA